ATATTATTTTTTTCATGTAAAATAATTACTCAAACTGAATTTACTGAAAACGTGAAAGACATCAATGTGTTTCCTTAATACCGTAAACCAAACACTGTAGCCTATTTGCAGATTAAGGCCTATAAATTAGTTTCATTATCAATTTACTTATTTCGGTTAAATTTCTGGAATTCATCTGGTTATGCACCTTGTAAATGGCCTGTTCAACGTGTCATTATTCATTGAGCCTTTTTATGGTCACAGTTTTTTTTTTCTTGTATTTTGTTTTACATACAGTCATTTTTGTTAGCTTTTAAACAAGCAGTAACTTCTTCAATTACTAATATAAAAACATCTCAAGAAGATAACATATAAAGGCGAAAAAACAGGATAAAGAAATAGGCTAAAGAAAATAACTCGTAAACAACCAGCATCTATAAGACAACATTCAAATAATAGTTTTCTTTAAAAAAAAAAAAAAATAATAATAATATATATATATATATATATATATATATATATATATATATATATATATATATATATATATATATATATATATATATATATATATATGTATATGCTATGTTCAGCACAGAAGCATTTTGGCTCTGTGGAGTTTTTGAGTTGTTTTAAAGAAATTTAAAGTTGATCTCAGGGTTGTGATGTCAGTGTAATCCCATTGAAATGTTTTTTAGATAAATTATAGATTTAAAGTTTTTTTAAACTCCTTTCTAATTATTTTTGATGCGTGTAGGCCTAAAGGCAACCAATCTCAAATAACCAGGAAACAGACAACATTTCTTTAGGCCTATATTATCTTTAAAATAATAATTGACCTTATAAGATTTTGTTTTCCATAAAAGAGCTGACTGATATTTCTCAGGTTAAAAGCTGCCAGTTGTATTTTACGTCCAGGCCTCTTCGCAATAGCGCTTTTCTTCTTTCATTTTTTTTCAGAATAAAGATAAAATAGATAAATAAAACACTGATAAAGTTTAAGTTTTATATACAATTATTTTAACGGGTGGACGTGAGTCCTTAAAAAAGTGCTTATTTTACGTTTTCTTTCTTCATTATTTGTTCTTGTTTATAGAGTAGCCTTAAAAATGAAACATCGCGTTTATAGAAACAATATTTAGATAACAGCATTTAAAACTATCACTTATTTTTGTCAGCGCATTTTGAGGCCTAGCTGGCAGTTTGTTTTGTTTCCTCATAAATGCCTGTTTATTCTGTCACATAATGAACATTGACTCCTAAATGATATTTTCACTTAAATTCACAATTTAAGTTTTAAGATTTTAAAAGCTTGCAACACACTCAATTAAACATCTAATCTTAAAATGGTATTTTCTTGAGAACATACTCCAATAATCTTTATTTAATTTGCAGCTTGAAGTATTTTAAGCTCTGAGATAACTTTGTTTATTTTAAGATCAGGAGATCTGTTCAGCCAGATGGTCTTCTGTCTTTTAATTGGGAACCTCACCTTATGGGGCGTGTCTAACAAATAAATTCTAAAATTGATTGGTCAGAAAAAGAAAACACTTCTGAATGCAGGCACTTTAATAACGAGAGGCCAATTTCAAAAAAGTCTTTGCTCATGCTTTATAATTTTTTCTTTTCTTCCGGCTTGCAATACTATTTCTGCTGTAATGCTGGGGTCTAGAGTTTGTTTCTGATACATCATTGCACTTAGTTTATTTTAAGCTTTTTCCCTTCCTTTTTGAAGACAAATGGTAACATATTGATTTTAAGTAAAATTAAAATTAGCTTATTATATCCAGTATCCTCTTTTCCTTGTTTCCAAAAAGACTAACCCTGCTATTTTTTTAGTTCCCGGACTAATACATCAGATCATATACAATATAATGTGCTTTACAAATTTGTCACTCCAGTAAATGGTTTCCTCTGTTTTAGTGAAAATTAAATTGGACAGAGCCATAATTCATTTCTGCTACTTGTAATTACTGAGCAGAAAAGACACATTGAGCTATAAAGAAAACTGCCTGAGGACATTTTATGACCCAAGGTCAGATGTTTTTAATATCTAGAAACATCTAAATTACATTTTCACTCAAATTCAAATGGCTTACAGTACAGTTGTGAGGAAACCAAACAGCACTATCATTACCAAAATATCGTGAGCCAACTCTCCAAGCCATCTTTTAGTAATAATTGTTTTTATTATGTTGCAAGAACAAAATGTTTTCTCCTGTGACTCTACTTTTTAGTAAGCCGTTTATTGGCCAAAAAGCGTTTAACATCCATGAGAACTTGATTCTTCAAAGTGTTCTTTAAGATTTTTTGATGATAGAAATGCTCTTTAGAGGTTCTCTGCGGAACCCACAATATTTTTTTTCTCCTCCCATTGTTGTGAAAAAAACAAGGTTACTTAAAAACAAGGTTTTTAAGTAACCTTGTGTAATTGATTAGTGCAATTAAAATGTAATTAATGTAATTAAAAGAAAATGTAGATGTTTCTGTATTAAGAATCTGACCTTGGGTTACACAGTGATGCTTTAATTCATTGTCAAATAAATTAAAGAATGGCATACAAATATTGCATAAAAACCTTTATCAGCTTCTCTCTTAAAAAAATGTATTAGCATAAGACTTATAACATCTCACAAGAGGTTATATAGAATATTGAAATGTTCTTTGCATTATAAATATATTTACATAAGAACTGAGAGGTTATTCAGTGAACCCAATAATTTTTAAAGTGTATTTTGGATTGCAGAAGTTATGAAAAACACCCTCCTTAAAGCTCTGTGGTGTATTTCTTTTAAAACAGCTCTTCCCATCCTTTATATTCTCCTGAGAAAAGCAAACACGTCCTGTTTGAATGATGTTTATTATTATAATGATTTTAGGGGATCTTTTTTTGTTTCGTCAAAATTCTCCCACTTCTTACAACCTTTTAACCTGTCACATCATAACAGCTGTGGATTTTGTAATGACATGCGTTTTTATTATTCAAGCAAGCATTTGAGCAACATTCATTCTTAACTCAAGCCATTCAATCTCAAGTTTCAAGCTTAATCAAAACAATAAGCTCTACTGACAGAGCTCTATTTTCCATTTTAAAGTGGGCTATAGCGACAGAAAATTTGAAGGAAAAGGTAATTCTCTGCACAAGGTTGGTTTAATGTTGTAGGCTGCTATTGCAAATAATGAAAAAAGCAAATGCGTAATGTAAAGCTTGTCAGGAAGCTCTATCGGACAGAAACCCTCGTTCACCATCGTTTGGCTGATTTATCAGGGGTGGCCACAGCGGAATGAACCGCTTCGGACAGAAACCTCTTCAGCGAATTCGACGTTTTGTGATCTTTAAAGGGTACACTTAAGGGACGCCATTTTTACCTACGTTTCAGTCGAATATAAAAACCTGATTACCTTTCACAAGTCCATTGTTGATGCCACGTTCACTTCAAGTTTATAAGGTTATGGCCATGCGATCAGGGTGGGAAGTCGCTCGTTTTGTTTTAAAGCAGCATGTCGGGATGATTCGAAGTAAGAGCTGTAAAGCGAAATTGTTCTATTTTACTGTGATATATAGACACTTGATATGCACTTGCCATAGATTTGCGTTTTCTTTCATTGCTTCGTATCGTCTAAATCACGTAATAAAGTCACCAGTTTGGAGTGTTTCGGAGTGAGTAGAACATAGTATTTTATTTATTTTATTTTACATTTTTTACACCAACAATCATCGAAACATTTAACTTAAGTAAAGTGATTGAAAAAAATAGCTTGTGACTTGACGTCATTAACGTGATGCACACATTTTGGACAATCTTTGGTTGTTTGCAAAACTGGGATAAATTATACACTTTTTAAATATGGACTGAATTTTCTTAACTCATGAAAATATATAGCTCTAGGGGAAAATACACCTTTAAATTTATTATAGTTTAACTTGGTATTGCAATTAAAACCTATTTATGGGCCTATATATAATATATACTTTTCCAATATTAAGGTATGGAAACTTTTATTTTGTCCTGTTGCATTTATGCAAATAAAGTCTCTAAATTATTATTATTATTTGAAATTTGAGGCAAATTGTAGGTATTTTAAAATAAAACACAAATGCAAATTTTCTTAAAACACATTCATCTATCTGCTAGTAAATTCCAAATCTAGAGAACATAATAAATCTGAAGTGTCTCTTTTCTCACAGTTCTATGTAAAGATCACATTTATACATTTGGTGAGCGGAGAAGTGCATCAAAGTTTTTTTATCGAGTCATTGCTGTCTTCGTTTTTTTTTTTTTTTTTTTACATTTAGAAAAAAATATCAATTTAAAAATCTATTTCCAGGTCAAAAACCCTTGGTTTGGTAAAATGCACATCCTACATATATATATATATATATATATATATATATATATATATATATATATATATATATATATATATATATATATATATATATATATATATATATATATATATAAAGCAACTTTATTAACTAATTACCCCACTTTGGTTCAATTTAGATAGATTATTGCTTCATTATATTGTTTTTGACTTTTATTTTCTAGATTTATCTTTTTTTGCATTTAGTGGCCACTTATCCCTGCCAGAGAGCGCTTGATCCTTGAAAAATATTCAGAATATAATACTTTATTTTAGCTTGTGCGAAGTTTGCATTTGTTTAAAAAAATGCTGGGTCAATTCAACAAAATTTCTATACAGTTTTGGACCACCAAACTGTTAAAATTGGGTATAAAATGTAAAATCTTTACCCAGAGGTTGGGTTTGTCCACATTTAATCCTAAATTTATAATGCAATTGAAATAACTTTATAATGAAATTGAAATAACCCAGCCATTTTTAGAGTCTATAAACCAAGAAGTCACTAATCTGCATTTAGTTATAAATCGAGTGTTTTGTCAGCAGGAGATAAAACCCTCTCCAAGCCTCTTGGCTATCCCGCTCTGGACTCAGAGTGTTGTGGAAAACTGAAAGAGGCGTCCAACGGCTTGACTGGGGACTCCATTGCGGACTCTATTGACCTATCAGGCAAAAACAAGAAGAGGCGAAACCGGACGACTTTCAGCACCTTTCAACTGGAGGAGCTGGAAAAGGTCTTTCAGAAGACACATTATCCAGATGTGTACGCAAGAGAACAGCTGGCACTGAGGACAGAGCTCACTGAGGCCAGAGTTCAGGTGTGTTACACAGCCTAGATGTCACATAATGATCAGTGTATCCTTTACCATTTTAAAGGAAATGACAACCTGGACACAGACTTTAATTGTAGATAGAAGAAATTAATTATTTTTTTATATTTAATTACATATTTAAATGCTTAAATAAAAATGATTAAGTTGAGACACTACATGATCACTTACGAGACACTTAAGATTTTGGGCTTTTCAAGTGTTTCAAGATATTATTCCCAAAATGATCTGTAAAATAAATTTTACCAGATATTTTTCAAGACACTAGTATTCAGCTTAAAGTGACATTTAAAGGCTGAACTAGGTTAATTAGGCAAGTTAGGGTAATTATGCAAATCATTGTATAAAAATTTGGTTTGTTCTATAGACAATCAAAAACAATATTTCTTATGAGGGCTAATAATTTTGACCTTAAAATAGTTTTATTCTAGCCAAAATAAAACAAATAAGACTTTCTCCAGAAGAAAAATTATTATCAGAAATACTGTACAAATTCTTTCTCTGTTTTAAATGAAACACAAATTACAGGAGGGCTAATAAACTTGTGGTGAAGACCCTTTTTGACCCTATACACATGTAGTGTCTTTCCTCAGTATTGCTCATTTAACCGATCCATAGAAGATTAATTGTAACAGTTGCGATTCATGTTTCAGCCTAATAAATGTATTCTTTTGTCAGGTGTGGTTCCAAAACCGACGAGCCAAATGGCGGAAAAGAGAGCGCTACGGAAAGATGCAAGAGGTGCGAAACCACTTTGCTGCTACATACGATATCTCCCTACTCCCTCGCTCCGACACATACCAGGTACATACACTCAAACACACACACTGAACAGAGAAAGCCTTCGTCTAGTATTTCAACACAGTCACACACACAGTGGAGTTGCTTTGGTTTAGCTGAATGCAAACATATTGACAACACACAAAAATGCCAGTCTAAAGCCATATCATTTTTTTAATAGAAAAAGTAACACATAATATTTATAAATTATGAATTAGAATTTATATTTTGTTTAATTAATGTAAAGCATTTAGTTATTCTATTTTCAAAATGTCATAATACTTCATTAAAACAATGTTATTGCTTTACAATAATCTTCGATTTGTTAATATTAAATTACTAAATTAGCTTTACATATGATTTTTCAATATATATTTAATTATTTATTTGTTTATTTCAGCATTTCATTTCTAATTATCAAATCTATAAAATATTAACATTTTACCAGAACTTCAACTTGTTAATATGTGTCAACCAAATGAATGAACATTAACATTGAAAAACAATTTTAAGCATTTGTTCATCAGAGTTCACAGTTATTTCAACATTATCTACTAACACTAAACGGTTTAGAACAATTTTCATTTGTCAATATTGAACAACTACAATAGTTAGCATAAAAGAGCAATGAAATACACTTTTATTCCATTTATTATTCTTGGTTAATATTCAGCATTTTATAACACGTTATTAAATATAAACGATGTAAATGTGGTAGGGCTGGGTGGTCTGGCATAAAATCAAAATCTTGATTAATTAAACCTCTTAACTTGATTATGATTAATAAATGATTATTATTATTAACCTCATAGTTCACTGACAGGTTTTGTGCAGTAAATATGCTCACATATTACAAGCAAGAGATTTTTGAATGAATGGAACAGTTGTTTATTATTATCTTAAGAGTAAATAAATAAAGTAACAAATACATTGCTTATTATTAGTTCTTGTTAGTTAATGCATTATCTAACTCTAACTAAAACCTCCTTGCTGTACCACATTTTTAAAAAGTGCTACCAAAATAATGAAAAATAATAAAATGAAATGAGGGCGACACGGTGGCGCAGTGGGTAACACGATCGCCTCACAGCAAGAAGGTCGCTGGTTTGAGCCTCGGCTGGGTCTGTTGGCATTTCTGACTGAAGTTTGCATGTTCTCACTGTGTTGGCAAAGACATGCGGTATAGGTAAATTGGGTAAGCGTAATTGTCCGCAGTGTATGTGTGTAAATGAGAGTGTATGGGTGTTTCCCAGTGATGGGTTGCGGCTGGAAATGCATCCGCTACATAAAACATGCTGGATAAGTTGGCGGTTCATTCCGCTGTGGTGACCCCTTATTAATAAAGGGACTAAGCCAAAAACAAAATGAATGAAAGTAAAATGGCATTCTTAAGTTAGTTTTGATTTATTGTTTATGTTATTTTAAAACAATAATATTTTAGTTAAGCATAAGACGCTATGTTTGGTCTTGTTTGCAGATGCAGAACAGTTTATGGCCGAGCGGTGCAGGAGCCACAGGCGCCGGCGGAGCATCCAGTGCTTGTGTGCTGGGCACAGAGAACATGCCCTCATCCTGTATGTCCCCTTACCCTCATCCTCATGGAAACTTACCTGGACTGATGGGCATGTCTGCATCTCCTGGTCATCATCATCACCACCACCATCATCACCATCACCCGTCGCACCACCCCAGCATTAATGGTATATACTCGCTCCATGGCTTCCCAGGATCCCTTGGGGCCCACACTTTCGAGGCTGGTCCCGAGTCTGAATATAAGCCCTCAGGCCTGGTGGCCCTGCGCATGAAAACCAAAGACCCCGGAAGCCTGTTATCCTGGCCAACATGACCGGACGAATGCCACGATTTCACTGAGCCAACAAAAGCTTAGCATGTGTGCACATACCGCCATGCTAGTGTTAAGGGCCGTTCACTGCAAGAACGATAACAATAAATATAACGATAACCATGTTTGTGTTTACACTAGTAACCATAATGATCTGTTTATTTGAAGTTTGAGCACTGCAGTTTCAAAGCAATGGTGTAGCCTCGTAAAGCCTCAAAAATCTTATTATTTTTTTATCATTTTGCTAAATCTGGGATATTGTTCTTTACTTATGAGATTTACATTATGAAAGACGCTTGGCCTTACAGCATGTATATTTCGCAAAGAAAACATGTAGGCTGTAATAATGATAATATCAATTATTTTGAATACAATTTTAAAACACTTCAAATATAAAATGATAATAAAAGTAAGTACTACAATATTAAATTGTAATGATTACAAAAAATGTATTATATTTAAAAATACATTTATAATTTACAATATTCAGACTTCTAAGTCGATTTTGTAACATTAGTGGTAAGTGTTTTTTTGCACTATAATCTGAATAATAATTTAATTAATTTAAAATAATAATTTAATAATAATAAATGTGGCACACTTGGAGTGGATTTTTTTGGCTATGCTAATGTTTCAAAGTAAATTGAAATTTATGTCTGTAATTGACTGATGCTTTACGTTTTGCATAGAAACTAAGGAGAAAAAAAACAGACATTGAAAAACATGGACCTCCTGAAAACGATTATTATCGAATACGATTTTAACCCCACGCCCTCATTAAATACATACGAATTAGCAACTTAATTAAAAAGTTACAAATTGCCATGAGAATGAAATATCATGTTTTTACCCTTCCAGCGGATGTCTTAAGAAGCTGCATTTCTAAATTGTCTGAACAGAAATAATAATAATAATACCAATAATGAAATAAAAACAACACAAATATATTCTTTCAAAGGAAGCAATACAAAGATATCAAAACTTCCACTGTATAAAAGAAGTACTTCTATGTTTTATACCAGCCTGATCTCACGAGAAAATGTAAGTATTTTACATTTTGTCAGTTTAGTGGCTATTTCATACGAATTCGTATGAGTTCAGTTGTATGAAAATGTACGATTTTAAAAGGAGGCATGGAACCCAACCTGCCCCTAAACCCAACCTTCATTGGGTGATGAGCAATTGTACCATATTGTATGAATGAAATTGTACGATTTGATAGGAATTAGCCACTAAATAAAAAAGTCTCAAATTGCCGTGCGATTATTTATACTACAATTTGTACATGTTCTTCTGAAGGTAACCAATTGTTATTTATATTCATTTTCTTAAATGGTTAATTAACCCCAAAATGAATCCCCCTGAGACCTTTGTTCATCTTTAGAAGACAAAATAAGTTTTTTTGATGAAATCCGAGAGCTCTCTCATCCTCCATATACAACAACAGTCCTGAGACATACAAAGTCCAGAAAAGGATCCAAAAACACATCAAAACATTCCATTTGACTCCAGTGGTTCAACTGTGATCATATGAAGCGCCAAGAACCCTTTTGTGTGGCAAAATAAGCTGTAAAAACAACTTTGCTTGCCAATGTCCTCCATATCAGATCAGGCTGCATCTACTACAGGCAATATAATGCTTGTGTGTTGTGCTGCTGATTCTAATGGGAATACGTCACTTCCTGTAAATGTTCACACTGACAAGCAATATTTTGACAAAGTTTTTGGTTCCTTTTCTAGACATTGAATGAGTCAGAAATGTTACAGTCTTTGGAAGATGATGCAGCTCTCAGATTTATTCTAAAATATCTTAATTCCTGTTCCGAACACTCAACACTCAACCGAACACTTATTAAAACTGAGCTGATACAACAAAATTCTTGATGTTTTTTTTGGGAGGGACAACTTAATTGTTTTATATTCAATCCACTTAGTCTCTAATAGAAAACTAAATCAGTTTTGTTGGGTCAACATGAATGAATTGTGTGGAAAGCTGCATTTTTTACAGTGAAGATAAACAAGGGGATTGGAATGACAAGAGGGTAAATATAATAACAGAATTTAACATTTTTGAGTGAACTAACCCTTTAAACATCAAGCAGTAATCTTCTCCTCAGCTCTGCTGATTTAAATGTTTGAGCTCTCTTTATTTCTTTTTTCTACATGGTTATCGTTATAGTGAACTCTGAACCCAATCTTGATTGTTATTATTATAGTTATTGTTCTTGGCGTGAACGGTCCTTTATTCACAACTGAAAGACACTTTTTAAAAATTCAATGTAACATTAATTTTTTACAGGCTTCACATGTTTAAGATACAGCGTGCCTCGTGCCTGGATTTTTTTGTGTTGATCTGTTTGGAAGCATCTCAGTTAAGTTTGTTGAATCTCTTTGAGCCATATCCCCTTGTTAAATTGTGTTCTATGGAAACATGTTTCAGGGCCCAAACATCCACTCATCTGATTGACAAAACTCTTTCAATGGACCACTGTTTAGTCATATCACACATTAAAGCAAATATTTTGCTAAATATTGGTGTTCGCTTGTCATCGTGTTCTAGTCATCCTAGACACCAATGGTTTTGCCTTTTATAAAAGATGAATCACTGTCTGACCATCTGAGATTAGACAGGTATATCACTGTGATCACAGCAAACTTTAATCACATATAAGTAATATCTGTTGTTTGCTTTGGCATCTGATAGAATGTTTGGACCCAAAAACGATGACGTGACCTCAGACTGAAGCGGATGGGCTTTGCACACAACTTGCGTTAATGCCAATTTTATTTTTACAAAAAAAATGTAAATGTTAATTACCAAAGAGGATGTGCAACTTGTTTATTTAAGGATTTTAATGTAATCTCATAGTTTCAATGTATGCTGTGTTTTAGCCCCATTTTGTGTGTATATTTAGCCCAGTCAATAAATGATTTTACATTCCCCAACTCTGTGCACTCAGGTGACTAAAGACATCAAATTCCTTTGTGCTTCTGGTAAACAACGGCACGGAAGTAAGAATCTTAGTAAATAGTATTCATAAGTTGTTCTAATTAGAGATATGTTGGTATCGTACAGTATACATTATAAGCACTTCTGGTAAAAATTTTGGAAGTTTAAAATGTTTTCATGTTTCTAAAAGAAGTAATTTCTGCTGCATTTGATTGTTGATACAAAACATTTCATTACATTTTCATTTTCATTAAATTTGAGTTAACACTTCTATTTTAATGAATTTTAACATGTAATTCATGCTATTATTTTTCAGCCTCCATTATCACATGATTTTTCAGAAGTCATTTTAATATGTTGATTTAGTGGCCATGAAATACTTCTTATTAACCCTGTTCAAATTTACCCATTTGTTCTGTTCGAGATGCAAACATCTACTGAATTAAACTGCTGTAAAAATGCATCACATTAATATTTGTTTTCCAATTTGTTTGCATAAATCTGTTAAATTAATTAACCTCAGTCCTGATCAAAACTACAAAATTGCCTAGAAAATTTAAGGATATTAACTCTTAAATTGTCAAATTCAAAAATGATGTCACTGATTTGGTGAAAACACAAAATGATGTATTTCCAATATAAAAGTAATTTTGGACTTGATTTTTTTTTTTTTTTTACTTTTATCACAGTGTTGGATATGTGAACGATTAGTAACAATGTTGGTTGTAATGCATTGTTAGATTTTAATTTTTTGTCCCTAATTTACTATTGGTGGCCTTTTCTTGCCCCATTGACATCCATTATAACCACATTTGATGGTGCATAAATACACAGTGTTTGTTTTAATTTACTCCACGTAGTTCTGAGAGCTGAGATGCATATTTTGATTTTCTCAGACATATCAAGGTAAGTGGTCAAAGGTCACTTTTACGATTACTCACATTGATTATATGCTGTCAGTGTTTATTATTCAGAAAAATGTGGTTATAATAGAATGGAGCAAAAGCAGTCACCAACAGTAAATTAGCAGGAAAAAAAGATAATCAATCGTAAACAATGCATCAAAGGGAATGTTGTTTTAAAAGTCCAAGACTTTAATAAAAGGTTTAAAAAGTTTCTAGTAAACAATTACTTTTTATATTGAAAATATGTCATTTTGTGCTTTGTGTGTGTTTTTTTTTTGTGTGTGTGTGTGTGTGTTTTTTTTTTTTTTTTTGCCAAATCGGTGACATCATTTTTATTTGTCTAATAAAGCATTAAATCCTGTAATTTTCTAAGCAATTTTGTAGTTTTGATCAGGACCAGTTTAGTTTTGATCAGTTTTGATTAACAAATGTATGCAAAAGAAAATAAACAAAAAAAATCAGATGCATTTTTACAGCAGTTTAATTCAGTGGATGTTTTCATCTGAACATAACAAAATGGTGGTAAATTTGCGTGAGTGTATTAAGGTCTGTTTTCATCAAAGCATTTTTTTAAAAATATGTGTCAATATAAGATTTGTCACCAAAATCATTCCAATAGCTGAAACACAGAAAAGGTCATGGCCAAATTAAGACTCAAAATCACCCCATAGTTGATGAAAACATCCTTACCAATATATAAGGGTTGATATCAGGGTTCAAAATAATTATTTTCTTTTGCCACAAACTATGATTTATTTCAATAAAAAGTATATTTTTTGTTTTAAAAAGAACTTTTTTATTTATCAAGGACACATTGATTTATCATTGATTTAAATTTGAAAACGATGCATGTTTCCTAATTCTAATCCTAAATATCCAGAATATGTTTGAAATAAAACAGAAAATTGTTCAGGCTTTAGCAACATTTTGGCTCTATATCTCATACAATTGTAGCCCAAGAACATCTTTTTGCACCAACTCCTTCAATGCTATGTAAGATGAGACATATTGTGTTGGCCAGACGACATGCCCATATGTCCTTTTAAATGTATGTTTTGTTGTAAAAGCTCTAAAATGTCACTGGATACATCAGCAGCATGTGACAGCCCTGCTAATACAAAACCAACTAAAGTAACCACAGAAGCCTCACTGCTGGACTGTTGATGGATTCCAAGGTTTTCCTCTGTCAACTGCAGGACTGGCGTCTGACAGCAGGGCAGAACCACAAACACTAATGAATTATGAGTCAACTTACATGTTACGCTACCGTTTAAATTTAAAAGTCCTGGGAAAAATCCAAATATTACTTGAAGTGCATTGCAGACTTCAAGTTTTTGAAGCAGCCGTGGAAGGCAAAACATATATGCGCCTCAATAACCAACAGACACTGACTAGGCTAACTAGTAATGGCCTCCTAAATATTCAGACAACTCTCAATATACAGTTGATCATGTTTGATTTGTACTTGGATTCCCGACCCTTTGGAAAATCGCTAAAGTTAATGTTGATGAGTGCCAAACAGCCTTGAGGAGGGCACTTCTGTGACCCAGCGATGGGTTGCTCAGCTCCATCTGGCTTTAATCCTGCAAGCCACTCTTTTCAGGGTGATTCACTTAATTTAGATGACACATAAGATGCAATTGTTGTAGATGAAAAAAACTGCATTGACAGGATTTTCAAAGCTTCTCTCGTTTTCCTAATTCTCAAAATGGGAACAGATCTACAGTCGCTTTGGGGCAAGATATCGTGCTGCTTCTTTCCTTTGTGCACAGAGGATGACAGAAACGCTGGATCGCATTAAGTGCCAGTTTAGCGGACCGTGCCGTGTTTTGGAGAGAGCTGACATGTGTTTCCAATAGAGGACAGAAGAAACGGACAGAAACTCTCTCTCTCTCCACACCCACAGCTTCAAATTCCTGCCTGATCTTTCGGGAAAGTGGAGCCAACTCCAGCTACACATGCAAACTGATTAAATCCCAGATTAAAGGATGTGATAAAGAAGTACAGTTCAAAAGGAGCGTTCCTAAATACGACTATGAAACTGAGGGGATGAAAAATGCGCACAAAGATGATAGTTGGCCTTCTAAATGTTGTACTGTAGGTGATAAAGACTCAAGATAAAACTATACACACGTTTTAAAGAGATAGTTAACAAAACTTAAAATTCTGCTATTTTTTTATATATATTTTTTATTTTTCCACAAGCCTGTTTGAGTTTCAAACACTTTATTTTGAAATAATGTTGTAAACGTGTAACCCTTTCATAGTAGCCTATACATCTTTCATGGAAGTGAATTGTTGGCTATACCGGTATCTGACATTCTTCTAAATATCTTTTTTTTTTTCAACAAGAAAAAAAGAAACTGATAAAGTTTTGGAACTTGTGGGCAAGTCAGTTGTGAGTAAATTTTCAATACCTGCTTTGAAATTGCCTCGATGAGTTATTCCCACTAAAAAATGGAAAATTTACTCACGCTAATCTGGTGATTCCAAACCATTATGAGTTTTCCTTTTTCTGTTAAACACAAAAGAAGATTTTTTTAAAAAATGTTAAATCTGTAACAATTTTTATCTGTAATATAATTTTTCAGTACTTTACCACTGAAGTTGACATGTACGTTTCTTATAGGCAAGAGCATGTCTGTTGGTGGAGCAGTATCAGCAGATACTAAGCAAATAGTCTGCTCTAATAAAAAATAGTTGCCAACTTACAGTCAAAAAATGTGCAAAAGGGATACCAGAGGCTCAAACAGGTTTGTGACAAGTTAAGCACAAGCAAATGATGACATAATTGCAGTTTTGGGTGAACTACTCCCTTTAATAGTAATGTCCAGGGCTGCATCTGAAATCACATTCTTTATTATGTTATTCATTTATTAATTCATTTTCTTTTGACTTAGTCCCTTTATTAATCTGAGCTCGCCACAGCAGAATGAACCGCCAACTTATCCAGTATATTTTCAATTTAAAATTATAAGGTTCTGACATTTTTGTCAAACTTGAGTTATTAACATTATTTTTAAATGACAACTTATTTACATCATGGGATGATTTTTTATATGTTGTTTACATTTAAGACTTTATTGAAAAAACTAAACAAATGTCACTCACATACTGTTTGCTATGGAATGCAAAAACTCTGAAGCTCAATATCTCAAAATCATTCAGAACACAGATAGAACCTTATAATTCCAAGGTGACGAAATATTTTACACAGCGGATCCCTTTTCCAGCTGCAACACATAGCTGGGAAATGTATTATGTTATAGTAAGTAAAAAACAAAGAGGTTCATTATACTTGTAGTAAGTATTCAGATGACCTACTTCTTTTGGTGAGATTCTGCAATGTGCTTCCAAGGGACTATTCCATAAGGCAACATGAGAGGATCTGTGAATGCCAGTGAAGTGACGTAACTGAAGATGTAGGGCACGTGACACTAAAACATGGCTAATCTTGTAGTTCTAGATTGTTCAAACAATACTATGTTCATTATGTAGGGCGTGTTTTCAAAGTATGTAGCCTACTCAAATACTCAAGAAAGTGTTTGATTTTGAATGCAGTTTGTGCATTGTAAAAAATAAATAAATGACACGTTGGCTGTTCAATTTGTCTTCTGGTGAATCAACATTGGATGAATGTGTTTATGTGCATGATAAAGTTTTTAAAATAGTTGTATTTTGTTTTATTATCACTCATTTAAGGTTTTGGACGTTTTTGTATTAAGTTCAAAGCATTGTCCTATAAATATATTCCTATTTTTCTTCATTGAAAAAAATAATAATTTGGGGGTAATTTTTTTTAATTTTGATGGTTGAATTGATAATTGTATAAGTTAAAACTATAATGGTCCCTGAGGGTATGAGTAAAGCATGCAAATTGTAAAACACTAAATTGTTTTAAGATAAATTTTAACTAATTTAAAGGCAATAACATTACTTTTATTTATTTATTTATTTATTTATTTTTTACAATTTAACATAAAAAAAAATTCACAGACATGGGCATATAATCAGAGATCTGCATTGTTTTAGTTAAGAAATTATTTCAGTTATTAGGCTAAAACCAATGGCTAAAACCCATGGAAAATGCTCATCTATAGCTGACCGACATGGTTAAAAGGCTGTTTTTTCACGTCCGTTCACCTCTGTGAAAGGCAAACACCACCATCTGTTGGACATCAAGTGAACAACGAGAATGTTTTAGTTTTTTTTTATTTGGATTACTTACGTTTTATAAAGATTGCACAGTTCATTTAAATTTATAAGAAATAACATGTAGGTGAAACTCAGACTCTTAGCATCTATTAAAGTTAAACACCGTTTAATTTTAAAAATAGCCTATACAAAGCACTCTTTGTAGATTTATCGAGATGATTAATAAATATGGTTTAAGAAGCAAATATAATATTGGCAGTACATGTTCTCAAAGACTATATGTGTGGTTAGTTGAATGTCACCTCTGTGTTTTATAAAGTGGCTATAGTAAACATTTGGCTTTTGAAGCTAAAATGGTGTACAGCGAGACTGGGCGCTGTACTAGTGCTTTAGATTGACAGACGGATCAGCCAATAGCGCTGTCGTTTCTCAGAGATTCAAACCAATCAAAGTCGACGGGCGGGTCATGTTTTAGTCTTGACAAGATGGCGTATGCGGTTGTTTTGCCGCAGGGACACTGAACAATTTATTCAGTTTATCGTGCAAATTCGTTGACGTTGCGGTAGCATTACAGTTAAAAAAGTGTTTTGTTAGGCGCGTGAAGCCAGAGGACATCTAACATGAAAGGTAAAGAGCGGTCGCCGGTGAAAAAACGTTCAAGGGCCTTGGATGATATACGAGACAGGGGAGGAAGCCATCCGACCAGTAAGAAAATGGGGGTTATCTCGAATTCTGGCGGAGGAAGCAACAACGGCAATAGTTCGTCTAAAAGCGACGGGGGCTCTGCACGACGGGGACTGCTTGGAGATAAAAGAGACGGACGGGAATTTGACGGACATGTATCCAGTCGGACTGGTAATAACCACGGTTACACGAGCCCTGTTGCGAGCTCAAGCGGCAAAAATCACGCCTCGAGTCTGTCCTTAGAGGCGGCGCGCACCAACTCGCGCGGGGAGGCGCGCGCACCGCTTCCCACAAACGAAAGTGAGTACAAAACTTTAAAAATCAGCGAGCTTGGCTCGCAGCTGAGTGACGAGGAAATCGAGGACGGCCTCTTTCATGAATTCAAAAAATTTGGTGACGTGAGCGTCAAAATCAGCCGAGTGAACGACGAGAGAATCGCATTCGTCAACTTTAGGAGACCGGATGATGCCAGGGCGGCAAAGCACGCACGAGGCCGGCTGGTGCTCTACGACCGTCCTTTAAAAATCGAGGCAGTTTACTTGAACAGGCGGAGGAGTCGCTCTCCGGTGAAGGAGGATCATTTCTCTGTTGTTGCAGGCCATAGACATTTGCATACTCAGAGGCCGCTCTCTCCAACCGGCCTGGGCTACAGGGACTACCGGTTACAGCAGTTAGCACTGGGTCGGCTTCCTCCTCCCCCACCCCCGCCTCTGCCCAGAGAGCTGGAAAGAGAAAGAGAGTTTGCCTTTTATGAAGCGAGGGCGCGGCCCGCATACATAGCAGAGCGAGCCGCTCCTTTCCGTGAGGAGGACTTTATCTCTCCAGAGGACGACCAGAGAGCCAACCGCACACTGTTTTTGGGTAACTTGGATATTACTGTGACTGAAAACGATTTGAGGAGGGCTTTTGAACGATTTGGGACAATCACTGAGGTGGACATTAAAAGACCCACTCGTGGCCAGAGCAGCACCTATGGCTTCCTTAAATTTGAGAATTTGGACATGGCTCACAGAGCTAAAATTAGCATGTCTGGGAAAGTTGTGGGCCGAAACCCCATAAAAATTGGATATGGTAAAGCCACCCCAACCACAAGACTATGGGTGGGTGGTCTTGGCCCTTGGGTGCCTCTGACTGCATTAGCCCGGGAATTTGACCGCTTTGGAACTATTAGGACTATAGACTACAGAAAAGGGGACACCTGGGCTTATATTCAGTATGAAAGCCTGGACGCTGCTCAGGCAGCCTGCACACACATGCGTGGATTTCCTCTTGGTGGTCCTGACAGGAGGCTGAGGGTGGACTTTGCTGACACAGAGCATCGCTACCAACAACAGTTCTTGCAGCCCCTCCCCCTGCAACATTATGAAATCATGGCTGAGTCTTTCGTTCATCGTGCCACCCCTGAAGCCATCAGGGTCAGAGAACGGACTCCTCCGCCACTGCACTTCAGAGAAAGAGAACTCTATGCTGGGGCTGAGTGGCCAGCACCTACTATTCGTGAACGTGTACGAACTCCTGCATTTGAGCCCCTTGAACACTTAGAGCGTGAACGACGGCGAGAGGCCTGGTCACTGGAGCGAGAGCTGCCAGGCAGAGAAGCTGCACGAAAACGGCGGCTCATGGAGGACGGCAGACATCTGGAGTGTTCGCCTGACAGCAGCAGTGAGTGGGCGGCCCGCCGTCGCAGACCCCCGTCGCTTGAGGGCAGCCCAGGCGGCAGCAGCCGAGACGGACGTTTCAGTGACTCTGAGCGTCCAGCGAGAGCAGACCGGGTGTCCCCAGCACGAGAGAGCCGCAGCAGCCTGGACCGAGTTCCCGGTGAGAAACGCATCAAAAGCAACAGCAACCTCTCTGAGTCCAGCATCGGCGCAAGCCCTGCAGAACGAAAGCGCAAAGCGGGCGATTCAGCTAAAGGTGCATCCAAGAGGGACAGATCCGAAAGCAGCTCCAAAAGCAACCAAGCTTCAAAACAGGACGCAGGGGGGAAGCTGAGCATGGCCTGGAATGGCATGCTGCTCCTCAAGAACAGTAACTTCCCAGCCAGCATGCACCTCCTGGAGGGGGACCTGAGCGTCGCCACCAGCCTTCTCATCGACGGCAGCACGGGTGGAAAAGTCTCTCAGCTGCGCATCACACAACGGCTTCGTCTAGACCAGCCCAAGATCGACGAGGTGTCTCGGCGCATCAAAGTGGCAGGCCCAGGAGGCTACGCAGTTCTACTGGCAGTTCCAGGCAGCTCTGAGGAGACTTCATCATCAGACCCAGCAGCATCCACGCAGAGGCCTCTCCGCAACCTGGTTTCATACCTGAAGCAAAAGCAGGCCGCCGGGGTCATCAGTTTGCCCGTCGGCGGCAGTAGAGATAAGGACAACACTGGCGTCCTGCACGCATTTCCACCATGTGATTTCTCTCAGCAGTTCTTAGATTCTTCTGCGAAAGCTCTTGCCAAAACAGAAGAGGACTTCCTGGTCATGATCGTTGTGCGAGGAGCATCTTAACAGTCATAATACACACTAAAGTATTGTTAAATGCAAGCTTCTCTTAATGTCTCTTAATTGCATGCTCTCTAAAGCAGAAGTGGTACTAGAGTAAAGGGCAGCTGTTGTTACCTGCTCTGCCAAACATGTACAGTAAAAAAGAGAGAAAATGGCCCATTCATATAGCAAAGTTTAGCTCTATAGCAATATATTTGTTTTCTGTTGCAATTTATTCAGATGTCTAGTTTGTGATAAGTTGTTCTCTGCATAAAAGAATGACAATTATTGGGCATATTAGAATAGGAATTTACTTTGGTCATTAAACACTGTCTATTTACAACACTTCCTATCAACATGTATTTCAGTCAGATTCCAGACAGTCTCACCCCTGTGTCAAATCCTGTTTTTTAATGTTCATTCATGTTCATCAAATTGAGTTAAGGGGAACCTGGTTTGTGTCTTGATGCTTTAAACAATCATTCAGTAATGGGGAGTGTAATATAAGTATATAGTCAACTAAAACGGAAAGAAAAGATTATTTTGCTCAGTGAAGTGCATGTTGATGCTAGTGTTCTTGTTGCAGAGGTTTAAAACACAAAGATGTAGCTGAAAAATACCATCAGTGTTAAACTGATTAAAACAGGCTGCATATTAACACCCCTTTACATATTAGAAATAACATGTAAACATATTTTGATTAAAAGATAAATATTTCTAAGCCCTCCTTAGACCAAAGCATAATATCAAACATTCAGTTTTGTGTAAAAAAAAAAAAGAAAAGGTATTTTGACATTCTGTGTTTTCATGTTTTTGGGTTACATTTGAAAGGTTTTGAATGAAGCATAATCCTGGTTTCAAAGTGAGATTTTATTTAATGTTTCACTTTAAATTACAACGTGTGTCAGATTAATTTGATTCCATTAATTAGGTGGTTTTAATTTATTTTTTCCTCTATAATTTTTCAGAAATTACAGATTTTTGTTCAGTGTAACATTTAATGCAGGTATTCTTATAAAAGTCTCTTTATAAAGATAATGAATACAAAAAAAGTGCATTTGCTATAAAACTGACTTTTCAAATCATCAGTGTAAAGTGCATGTGACCTATAGTGTGATACTTTGTAATTATCAAATACAATTTGGTAGATAAGCCATGTGGATTGCATTGATTAAAAAAAGGTGTACAACTAAATAAATATATATATATATATATATATATATATATATATATATATATATATATATATATATATATATATATAAAGGAGACTTGATGCCCTAAAGATCTGATTCTTGTTCAAGTGTAAGACCGTTCAACATTTTATTTAATTGATTTTTAGTTCTAATATAGACACATGTTTTTAGTTGAACATCCATTAATGTTTAAAATATTTCACATGTGGTTCTTAGGTGTTAATTGTTTAAATGCTTTTAAAACAGTTTCTCTAAAACCCTGGAAAGGTAGAAATTTGTGTTCTTAGTCTGTTTAGCTAATTGCAGTGTACTGATCCGATGCATAATAACATCTTTTCATGTATGACTTTTTTTTTTTTTTAATTCTTCACACTAAAATGTGTTTTAAAAGTCGACTGGTCAGTGATTTCACAATATAACAGCTGTTTGTGTACATGAATAAATGGACATACTGCACGTTCAGTCCTGGCCACACAGGACAGGAAATGGACCGTTCCACAAGTGGACTTCACAAGTCTGGAAGCAGAAATGATTGTTTGAAATGATTCAGGAGCCCTTTGGATGCACTTGGGGCAAGAGCTTTCCATTTAGTGTTAGTGTACTCTCACTGAGAGCATCTTCCTGCTTGTGTAATTGTTTTTTTTCTGCTTACAGTTCCCGTATTTAAACGGAAATAATGACACTTTTGATTTGTGCTGTGTTTACCTAATTTCTTGATTGGGGAGAAAGAGGAAGCGGTCACTCACTCCTTGCACAGCTCTTGACCTGGCTGTTTGTACACACACAAAAAGTGCACTGGCCCCTCATTTGATTATAACACGCTATCAATAAATTGTTTCAATTGAGGGAGAAATGTTTATTCGTTGGAAATCAATTGAAGAACGGCTGCCGCTGCTTTTTCGGTTGTGTTTCGGGAGGAATTGTTGCTCGATTGCTTGTTTCTGCTCAGGAAAGCATTTCTCCTGCTTTGTGTTCGGCCCGGGATCAGTCATGGCAGTGAGAGCAAAGGGCAAGAGAGCTCCGTGTTGTTGTTGATCTATGTTTTCCTGGAGTCGCCCCACATGCTAAGTAACACGAGGGTCCTGCGGCGCTACCCTGCCCCCCAATCCTCAAACAGATCAGGGAGAAGCTGAGCGTTGAGATGATGTTTGCGCAGACCTTCACTCTGTTTCAGCACCTCTTGATTCATGTGCCGTCTTGCTGGAAGTATCCAGGCTCGCTGTAACCAGAACGAGGCTTTCCAATTCACAGGAACAGGCTTTTGTTTATCCCATCCTTTGATTTTGTCTGATATGATTTTGTTTTTGAAAAGCAGTGAAGGAAGAGGATGTAGAAAGCGTTTTTAGTCTTCGAAAGTGTTCGAGTTTTGATAGTTAAAGTACTTTAGATTTTTAAAGCGCATCCAGATGATCGGTTTGTGGTAACTTGAAGAAAGTTGAACTCCAGCAAGAGTTAACGTGGAGTTTGCTTGCGAGGATCCTCATCAGGAGGACAGAACCAGCATCCTTTTGCCCTCAGTGACAGACTTCACTCGCACAGGCCTCTGCCTGCAGGAACCAGACCAGTCCTCTGGTGTGGGTGGTGAGTAGGGAGTTACCAGGTCTGTAGATTCAGAATCTACCTGGTACAGGTAAGTGTTAGTAAAGCAAATGCATTAGAACTTTACCATTGATTGTACCTGTGATGTCTGTAGTTTCCCAAACCTTAATTTGTTTCTTCCTAGAGGACAAAAAAAAGGCTTAGAACTTTGTCAAATTTTGAAGGTCTAAAGGTTGTGACTATTTTAATGATCATTTTACACAAAAATTTGCAAAAAAAAAAAAAAAAAACCTAGTTCACCCTAAAATGAAAGTTCTGTCATTTGTTCTCACTTATGTTGTTCTAAAAAGGTAACTGACTTTTGTTAAACAAACAAGATCTCAGACACAAACCACAAGCTTCATGTGTGCAATCACATACTAAAATGTATCATTTTCTTGCAAAATATTTTTTTTTTTGTGTTTGTAGTATGCGATTGCATGAGTCTTTTGTAATTTTGTTGTAATAATATTTTTTAAGAAAATAATTATGTTTAGGATGCAGTTGACTTAAAATTTGGATACATTAATTTAAGATTTAATGTTACTTTTCATAATCTTGTGTCTGATAAAACTAACAAAAATATCTTGACTGTTTTGCAACAACATTAGGGCAAACAAATGACAGCATTATTTTTGGGTGAACTGTCCTGTGAACAAAACAAAAACTATATTGAAATAGTCTAAAATTTTACATATTCACACATTTCTTAGATTAGCAAATTAATTTAACTCATAATCCAAAATATGAAAGTACCATAAATTAATAACTTGACACTTATAATAAATCAAAATATTTAAAGTTGCATGCTTTTACATTGTAATGTACATCTAATGTGATCTAAAATGACCACAATGGATGAAATGTACATTTAACAACACAACAACCAAACTCTGCATTTCAACACTCACAGAAATAAGGGTATGTGAGCTATCACTGGGGTGGTACCTTTTCAAAAGGTACAGATTGTCCATATTAATACCTCAAGTGTTAATATTAGTACCTAAAAAGTACCAAAGTGTACCTCTTACACTTTTTTTAGGTACTAATATGTACCCTTGAGGTATTTAGCTATCACTGGGGTGGTACCTTTTCAAAAGGTACACATTTTTCCATATTAATACCTCAAGGGTTAATATTAGTACCTAAAAAGTACAAAAGTGTACCTCTTACACTTTTTTTTAGGTACTGATATATACCCTTGAGGTATTAATATAGACAAATGTGTACCTTTTGAAAAAGTACCACCCCAGTGACAGCTTATGTACCTTTATTTCTGAGAGTAATTTAAAACTTGACCAAATTCACTTTTAATATGTGAAGCCTTTAATTAGCCTATCCTTTAATTTATTCCCATGGCAACTTTCTCCTGTATGTATTTTCAAAGTAATGTAGTTAATGGATTCTTAAGAACTTAACAGGCTACAGCTCAATTTTGTACCGCCTGAACTATCTTAAATATGATTTATAAGTAGCATTTATGAAGATAATCTAAGATAAACGTGAGGTTTCTTACAGATTTGTTTTTGAATATGAATAGAACCTAGATTTACAGTCAGCTAAAAGGTTGTCAGTAAAACGATACAAAGGGTATGTGCATCTTAAAAAGTGGTAGTTCACCTAAAAATGAAAATTCCATTGACTTTCTTAATATTTTTTGGATCTGCCATGGATGTCAATGACTTTTTTTTCCCAACATTCTTCAGAATATATTGTTTTGTGTTGAACGGGAAAGAAATTCAAAAAAGTTTATAACCACTTGAGTAAATTATTAGGGTATTTTAAATTTTTGCGTGAATTATCTCTTTAAATTGAAATTTCACAATCCAAGGCCCCTTAAATTAGAGCAGTAATTCTTAACCCTGTAAAATATTTACTTGAACGTTATTAGAGCTTCATGTGTTAAAATCACATTTTTAAACATTTGTGATAAATTTAGTTTTGTTTTCAATAAAATTGAACAATTTAGTGAGTTTATGTTTAAAACAGGAACAAATATGTCACAGGGGTATGACAAATTATGTTCCATCGGTAGGTATCTGTTTTTTTCTTTTTGAGTGAACTGGAAGATATAAGTTCTGGCATTAAGCATAAACTTGAATGAAATGAATCTTTTTCAACAACAGCAGAAATAAACAAATTAGACAATTTTCATCCCAAATAAACATACCTTGATTCAAAAATCAATATTTACAAAAGAAAACCATAAATTACTGAGTGAAAAGCAACACAGCACTGCGACTGGATGGTGCAGTATCAGTAATATTAAAATGATGGTGTTTTAGAGCAAGTCCATTGTTGTGTAAAATAATTACAAAGTAACAGAGATTACAATCTAGCTGTAAAACTATTACTAACATTCAGGAACAGTTTGCTTCTTAGACATTTACATTCAGCTGACCTCATTGAAATGAGTAGTTCACGCAATTATGGAAATTTAGTCACTGATTACTCAAACTCAAGTGTTTTCAAATGTTTATGAGTTTCTTTTTCCTGTTAAACTCAAAAGAAGATAGTTTGAAAAATGTTATAAACTGGTAATCATTGACAACCATAATAGGAAAAAAACAAACTACGAAGGTCAATGGTTACCAGTTTCAAAATTACTACTTTTATGTTCAGTAGAAGAAAGAAAGTCATAAAGGTTAGTGACAAGTGGTGAGTAAATAATTCTCAGTTTTGAGTGAACCATCCCTTTAATTTACATTTTAGCTTTTGTAAATTAGAGACCACCAACAGTGACAGCCTTTAACTTTTTTTCTTTGAGTGTACAAACATGAATTTATCCTTTTTTCACACACACACACACACACACCCAATTATTATTATTAGTGCCTGTAATATTTATGGAAGGCTTTAGGCCTTTTTGTTGCACTGACATTTCTGTGTTAAAACAAGCAACAATCATACTTAAATAAATAAGAATAACAATGAATAACATGTAATGAAAAAAATCTCGATTTTATAATAATACTGTTATAAATTAGTATTACTACTACCTTGATGTTTGACAAATGCAACCTCTGAAGGAAGAAGCCTTCAAAATCAAACAGCTTTAACATATACAGATAAAGTCCCATCTACACACAACTACTTACCTTTGCTAACAAAAATAGTTTTGATATTGGCTAACATTAAAATTAATTTGCATTAACAAATAAAATAAAGGAATTAAAGCGATAGTTCACAATCAAAAGTTTTTTGTTTTGTTATTTTTCCTACCATGGATGTCAATGAGTTTTTTTCCAACTTTCTTCTGAATATATTGTGTTGTGTTGAACAGGAGAAAGAAATTCAGTTCAATTCATAAATACAAGTTTATAACCACTTGAGTAAATTGTCAGGGTATTTTTTGTTTGTTGTGTGAACTAGCCTTTTAAATTGCCTCTTTTATGATCCAAGGCACCTGAAATAGAGCAGTAATTATTAACCCTATAGAAAATTTACTTTAATGTAATCTGACCTTCATCACATGAAAAAGTAATTTGCATTAACAAATAGAATAATTAAAGGGACGGTTTACACAAAAATGAAAAACCAGTCATCTTTTACTCACCCAAGACTTGTTTCAAACCTTTATGAGTTTCTTTCTTCTGTTACACGCAAATTAAGATATTTTGATATGAATGTTGGAAACCTGTAACCATTGACTTCCATAGTATTTGTATTTCCTACTATGTAAATCGATGGTCACAGGTTTTCAGCTTTTTTCAAAATATCTTCGTGTTCAACAGAAGAAAGAAACCCGTAAAGGTTTGAAACCACTTGATGGTGCATACATTTTGAATAAATGTTCATTTTTGGTGTGGAACTATCCTTTCAATTTCTGCAAAACTTTTTTTTTCAGTTTGTTACACTTCGACAGAATCCATGAACGTGGCATGCTTTATGCTTTCTCTTCTGTCTTCATCACAGTTCTCAATGACCAGCTTGTCTCCTGATGCTATGGATCGGGCCTGGTAACTAGGTAACCATAGATCTCCACGGTAACTCTGAAGCCCCTCCTCTTGCCTCATTTACATAATCTCTTTATGAGGTTCCAGCTGCCCCAGCCCCCCCGCTTTTCCAACTAATGAAAAGTCCATGTTAAATCCAACAGTCCAAAAACATTAGCTCATTGTTCCTGGTTGTAGCTTAGTTCTCTTCATAAGCTACCACATGATGACTATAAGCTATTTCAGACCTCAACAAGAGGCTTTCTCTTTCCTCTGATCACATTATGAATGATCTCACTACTTGCAATGGAGACGTAACTGAATGCAGGCGTTACAGAGTTCATTCTACTACTATACTTTGTACTAACAAATTTGACAGATGTTTCAAGGGATAGTTTACCCAAAAGTGATTGTTTTGACATAATTTACTCACACGTTTGTTAATGCGTTTCTGTTAAAAATGTTTAAAACTTTTAACTATTGACTTCCATAGTATTTGTGTTCCTACTATGGAAATCGATGGTTACAGGTTTTCAGCGTTCTTCAAAATATGTGCCTTTGTGTTCAACAGCAGAAAGAAACTCATAATCAGCAAGAAGGTCGCTGGTTTGAGCCTAGGCTGGGTCAGTTGGCATTTCTGTGTGGAGTTTGCATGTCCAAAGACATGCAGATAAAAGTGAATTGAATAAGATAAATAATCCGTAGTGTGGGTGAATGAGAGTGTATGGGTGTTTCCCAGTGATGGGTTGCAGCTGGAAGTGCATCCAATGCGTAAAAAATATCCTGGATGAGTTGGCAGTTCATTCCACTGTGGCAACCCCTGATTAATAAAGGGACTAAGCCAAAAAAATTTAATATGAGTAAATTGTATTTTTTGGGTGAACTGTCCCTTTAAAAGTGATGCTTGATGATCTTCAAACTCAAAAATCGACCAGTTTCTTCATTTTAAGATCCTCTCTAGCAAGAATATATGTTGATATTATTTAACCAATGTGCTGATCTGAACTACTTCCAGGAGGACAGAGCTGAATGCTGGACGTCTTCAGATCAAACTAAGTGGTTTGTTATTGATTCACTGTCAGAGATCTTTGATTACTTTAAATAAACAAGTGTTTGTAACACATGCAATTAATACTTGTTTTATATTCTGTGTTTTTGGTGTTCAGAGAACAGCAGTGTTGCATTGTGGGTACCCATCAGTGGTAAAACAGAAATTTGAGCCTTGAAGACACTATTTTGTAAGTACTTATTTTTTTGCACATACTTTTTAGAAACAAAGGTCACAGTAATTCCCCTGAAAGCTGATTTCTTGTAATAACTAGTGTGTAATATATTGTCATATTAAATGAATGTCTGGAAATGTGTGTACTATATTCAGTTTGCTCAATAAAGATATTTTTCACACCAGTTTGTGTCTGATTTTGATGTTACATGTGCAGTCAAACTTTGTTCAATTTAATAATAATTAAAATAAATTATAATCAAGATTTGATTTGTGGCTTCACAGCAAGAAATTCGCTGATTCAAGCCCCAACTGGGCCAGTTGGCATTTCTGTGTGGAGTTTGCATGTTCTCCCAAGTTTGTGTTGGTTTCGTCCAGGTGCTCTGGTTTTTCCACAGTAAAAAAAAAACATGCGCTAAATGTGAATTGAATCAGCTAAATTGCCCGTACTGTATGTGTGTGAATACGATATGGGTGTTTCCTAGTGCTGGGTTGAGCATCCACTGTGTAAAACATAAGATGGATAAGTTGGCGGTTCATTTCACTTTTAGCGACCCCTAATAAATAAAGGGACTAAGCCGAAAGAAAATGATTGAATGATTTGAAGATGAATTATTTAATATATTCCTAATGATTTCTATTAGAAACCCTGTGCGTCTTTCAACAAACAGGAAACCCAGTGGCTTTTAAGTTTACTGCTGGCTTTAATTTGCAGTCATGTAAATCTTAACAGTAGTGAGTTAAGGCAACAACATGAACAAAATATAATCCTTAAAAAAAACCTAAGGAAAAGTGAAATAAAAAGCGAGGGTAATAATCCCAACGCTAAATCACTAACAGTACAGTATAGCTGGTGTTGTCTAATTGGCAACAATAATAAGTCGAGAGAATGGCGTAATGTTACATTATGAAGTGCTTATTATTAAAGGGATAGTTCACCCAAAAATATAAATCATTTACTCATCCATTTTACATTCAATTACAATAATTGTCTGTTTGCTTTTCCCAGCTTTCTTCAGAATATCTTGTGTTCATAAAGTAGGTTTTGAGTGTGCGTAAATAGTGAGGAAATGTTCATTTCTTTGTGAACTATCCCTTTAAATCAATTGTAATTGTGCGTGTCTTGCTCATTCCTATTAGGAAATGCTCTGTTGATCATTACTTGACTGACGAAAGAAAAGAATCGGACATTCCAGAACATGGATAGCCTGTTAATTGATCCAACATTCCAGCAGTAGTACATGGCTAACGCCTCTAGAGGGCAACAGCGCACACTGAACAGAAAATACCGAGGACTGTCAAATGCATAGATCGATACATTGTATTTCCATTGCATCTTTGGCTCTCATCACATGATATTTAGCGGTCATTGTGTACAAAGGCAGTAAGTGGCCATAAACTGTGCACTGGTGAATCTCAGCAATAAAATAACACAAAAATATAAAGGATTTGCACTTTAGAGAAACTCTATTTGAAATGTTCACCGTCTGGGCCTCTTGGACAACGCATGAATTGACAAGCCAACTGACCTCATTTTTTAGCATCAGCAAAATATGCACTTGTATTCATGCAGCGGTTTGTTCCAGAAAATCTCTTGGTTGTTGTCAGTAGTGAATGAATGATTTGGCACCAGCAAGGAGAAGAAAAAAAAGTCGTCCATGTCGAGAATAGGCTATTCTGGTCCGAAATAGTCCAATTGGTACACCAACGACTAAACGAAAACGACGAGGTCAATCATTGTGCCCTTATGCAGGTCTTTGCACAGCTTCATGACAACTGATAAATCACACAAACGAATATTAAAGGCTCAAAACATGTGCTCTGCTCACGGAGGAAGCGCTCTCACACGGAAGACCTGCTTATTGTGCATGAACCCATCGCCATTTGACAAAAAAAGTTAAATTTGAGTGAGTGACAGTGGATGTGTTTGCGTGTCTTTCGTTTGAAATAATCCACTGTCGTAATTTGCTTAGAAATGGTGCGACAAAACATAAATTTGTTGTGCGAGGGTGAGGGAAGCACATGTTTGTTCATTAAAATCAACAAAATCCATTCTCCCTCGTCCACTAACGAAATAGTTTGCATTGTGGTGTCCTCAAGCATTTATTGGTCTCTGAATTCAAATGAACACTGATTTGCTTGCCGTAGTGTGGTCCCGCCAAATGTTCAGGTCAGCTCCTCTTCCGAGACTGAACCACATGACGTGATGAAAGGTGAAACGGTTGTGAGTTTATTCCTTTATTATACAACACCGTTCCTCTGAGGTGCCGGACAGAAACAACCATTACTCCACATCAACTCCTGGTTTAGCGTCTCAAGCCGTTCCTTTCGGGCCTGCCAGCGCCTCGCCAGAGGCTCGAGGAACAGAGAAATCGATGATAAGAGGTAACACACACCTGCCAGGTAGAAGGAGCAGTCGTACGTCTGAGTGTAGTCGTATAGGAAGCCTTTGGGACATAATGCAAAACGTTAGACATATTAAAGTGATGCCAAATTGAGAAAAATTGCTCTATCTGTCATGAAATAGAGAAGATAATTATCTAGATAATTGGAACAGATATTTTGACACATCTGAGTGAACAGGCTCTTCAATGAGGAACAGATGCAGAACGGGATTGGATTGTTATTGTTGTTTGCTATTGGTTTATATACACTACCTGACTAAAGACTTGTTGCCTATCCAAGATTTAGAAAAAAAAAAAATAACTTGACTTCTAGTTGATCATTTGGTATCAGAAGTGGCTTATTTTAAAGGCAAAGGCCTCTGGATTATGCTTATTTTACCAAAATAAAATATGATCATGACTGATTTTCATTAATTTTCTTCTCAGCTTAGTCCCTTTATTAATCCGGGGTCGCCACAGTGAAATGAACCGGCAACTTATCCAGCACATTTTTACGCAGCGGATGCCCTTCCAGCCGCAACTCATCTCTAGGAAACATCCACACACACACACACTCATACACTCATACACTACGGACAATTTAGCCTACCCAATTCACCTGTACTGCATGTCTTTAGACTGTGGGGGAAACCAGAGCAACCGGAGGAAACTCACACGTACACAGGGAGAACATGCAAACTCCACACAGAAACGCCAACTGATTTTCAATTATTTAATTAGGACAGTAAGGTCTGACTTTGATTAGACAATAGTCTTGTCCCTTAACAGAAATAATGTACAGCATAGAATATAAAGTCATGGTGCAGTGGAAAAATAACTAACATTGTGTATGACTCCCATGAGCTTGGAGGACTGCATCCATCCATCTCTGGAGTGACTCTATTAATATTATATTATTTATTAATAAGTTATTTGAGTAATCTGGAATGGCAAAGAAGCGTTCTTGCAGGACTTCCAGAGATCATCAGGATTATTTGGATTCATCGTCAATGCTCGCTCATTCATCTTACCCAGATATGCTCAATAATGTTTATGTCTGGTGACTGGGCTGGCCAATCTTGGAGCACATTGACCTTCTTTGCTTTCAGGAACTTTAATGTGGAGGCTGAAGTATGATGAGTAGCGCTATCCTGCTGAAGAATTGGCCCTTTCCTGTGGTTTGTAGTGTAATCGGCCGCTCAAATGTCTTGATACCTCAGACTGTTAAAGTTGCCATCCACTCTGCAGATCTCTAGCACACCCTCATACTGAGTGTAACCATAAACCATGATTTTTCCTTCACCAAACTTGACTGATTTCTTGAAAATCTTGTGTCCATGCGGGTTCCAATAGGTCTTCTGCAGTATTTGTGATGATTGGGATGCAGTACAACAGACAATTCTTTGGAAAAATCTACCTTCTGCCACTTTTCCAAATCAACTAGAAGTCAGGTTATTATTTAAGCTCTTACAACTAGGATTGACAAAAATACTTTTTTCAGATAATGTGAGTGGCATTGTCAAGACTGTATACACCAGAAAATTGACATCATTGCAAAAGGTTGATTTTTTGTATTATAATTAATATTGCACAAACACATTAAGTGCATCCAAAAGTGTTTGTGCACTGCGTGACCTTAAACTGCACAACTGTTAAACAAGTATGTTATATGGTATGAATATGAGTATTAAATTAATTTAGACAAAAAACATGTTTTTATTACCACTTAACCTGTTAGTTTAATTGCTTCATTATTTTCATAAATTTTCTCCTGTGACCACATGGGATAGTAAAATGGCCACGTTTCAGAATTTCAGTGGAAGTAGCTGATGGTCACCTGGGTGTTTTTTCTAATATGGATTCTGACTAAATACCCACACATAGTTTGTATGTTCTATATAACTGGGAGGGATGCCATTTAGCATGCACCAATGAATATATGAAGAGTTTAGATGCAAAAACCTCTAAATGCCATCTGAAATTTTCCTTTTAAATGAGCATTTTTATCAGGCTCCTGTGTGTTTGTTAATGTTGAGATATTTCACTTTAAAACCCAGGAAAATGACTTATTCTGTCATAAAAGTGATGTTACTAAACAAAGGGGGATGAGAATAATGTTCATTTTCGATGGCAATTTCAGACAGCATCTGAACTCTATTTATACAGTTGAAGTCAGAATTATTAGCCCCGCTTTGATTATTATTATTTTTTTTTATATTTTCCAAATAATGTTTAACAGAGCAAGGGGATTTTCACAGTATGTCTGATAATATTTTTTCTTCTGGAGAAAGTCTTATTTGTTTTATTTCGGCTAGAATAAAAGCAGTTTTAAATTTCTTTAAACCATTTTAGCATCAAAATGATTAGCCCCTTTAAGCTATTTCTTTTTTCGATAGTCTACAGAACAAACCATCATTATACAATAACTTGCCTAATTACCCTAATCTGTCTATTTAACCTAATTAACCTAGTTAAACCTTTAAATGTCACTTTAAGCTGTATAGCAGTGTCTTTAAAAATATCTAGTCAAACATTATTTACTGTCATCATAGAAAATTAAAACGATTAAGTTTAGAAATGTGTTGAAAAAAACCATCTCTCCGTTAAACAGAAACTGGAAATTCTTTGGGGCCAAAAATTCTGGGGGGCCAATAATTCTGACTTCAACTATATATATATATATATATATATATATATATATATATAAACTGTTTCACATTTGTGCACACATTTATAATAACATTGCAGCATTACATTTGATTTCATGGTGACTTTAGAGGTCAATGAAGAAAGTAAACAAATAAAACAAAAATTATACTTTTTTTACTCTTCAGCCTTCTCTTTCTAGTTCAACCAAAAATGAAAGTTACCCCAATTTTTTTTTACATTTCTCTTAGCCGTGGTCAAAAGTCAGAGATCAGCCAAGAAGTTGTCAAGAATGCGCAGTCGGCAGCTGCCTGAAGTCAGATTTTATCATTTAAAATATAGAAATATATATATTTGTTACAAAAACATGTCCATTGGTTTTAAAAGAAATGCATTAACCCCTTAATGGCACGTGGGTTAGTTTTATGACATATTAATGCACTTTCGAAAGTTCCAAAAAAAATCCCATTAGCACTAGTAAATTATACAGCATTTTTATTTCCATTTATAAATTTCCTTTTAGCTTATTCCCTTATTTATCAGAGGCTGCCACAGCAGAATGAACCACCAACTATTGCAGGCAGCATATATTTTACGCAGCGAATGCCCTTCTAGCTGCAACCCAGTACTGGGACACACCCATTCACACACACACGTACAATATGGACAATTTTGGTTACCCAATTCATCTATAGTGCATGTCTTTAAACTGTGAGCGCGAACATGGGGAGAACATGCAAACTCCACACAGAAATGCCAACCAGCGACCTTCTTGCTGTGAAGTGACAGAGCTAAGCACTGAGCCCCCGTACCACCAATTTGTATTTTTGGGTGAACTATTTCTTTACTTCTAAATGCCTGGCCATTTAAAACTATGAGTGTGTTCCCATTAGAATAGTTCCATCGGGTTGTTGAGCAACCGCATCAGAGTTTGAGCAAGTTTAAACTTCTGAAATACAGTTTGCTGAGAGGATAGACAGGTTTTCTGTCAAAAAGGTCAGAGAAATGCACTTCTCATAATGTTGTTTATGTCTGTTAACACTTAAACACACTGACAACTAATCACCTCAGCCAGGCCTCATCCCCTTGGGCAGGACGTATTTAGATTTGCAATATTTTTGAATGTTCACATTCCAGGAGGAAAACTTAAAGGGACAGTTCACCCCTAGAAACTCACTGTTATTCACTATTTACTCACCCGCAAGTGGTTACAAAACTTCATGAGTTTCTGTTAAACTCAAGTGAAGGTATTTTGAAGAAAGCTGGAAACCTGCAAGCATTGACTTCAATTAATCAAGTACTATGTCAATACTTTCATGTTCAAAGGAAGAAAGAATCTCAGACAGGTTTGGAACAAGTCAAGGGTGAGTAAATAATGACAGAATTTTCAGTTCAATGTGAACTATCCCTTTAAGACTATGCATTTGAGGGAGCTCAGAAACAGTTTACTCACATATAAAATAACTCCCTATGTAGGGAACCTTTTTATGCTAAGCAACATTGCGCATTAAATGAAGGTAAGAGTGTAAAAACCATTACAAGACATCTTTAAAATGATGGACAGATGGAGAAATCTTTCTACGCTCTCCACCCCTAAAAATCTGCCCACACCTGTTTTCTGACTGCACACACTTTCAAAATGACAGCTTGTTTTTACAACGCAAGAAGCACTGGGTCACGTCCGGAAAGGCCTTGGGTAGGATAGAAAAATCAGTTTAGCTTGCCTTACTGCTCATTATTTTTGTGAGGCGGGGGATTGTTGAAGGGGGCCCTGACAAGATGGTTCAAGTTAGCATAACTGTAACAGAGTTCAGGGCAAGGTCTGTACTCGCCTTCCTAAAGAGGCCCCTCTGCTAGACTAGCATTTCCAAGAACTGAACCTCACATTAGAGCTGCTCTGCATAAGGAGATTCTGTTTTGGTATTTATGACTGCGTGTCATTAGTAAATAGCAGCAAGTAACAAATGTCTAAAAGTAATCCTGAAAGTAGCTGTTTGTTCAGCACAAAATCACGAATTCAGTAAAGCGACTGTGGTTTTGTTTGCTGCAGAATGCTTTAAATATAAGCAAACAGGTAACTCTATTTTTAGATGAGTTAACATGTCTCCCATCTGTAACCCAGTTAAACAGAAATATGAACCTGATGACCTCAGTGTCCCTGAAGCCAAGTCTTTCCTGAAGACTGCTGGCTGTTTTCATGAGACATCAAGACTGCGTTCACTCTGTAATGTTTATCGCTTCTATGATCTAGTCATGGAGCTCATCCAAACTCCACATACCTGCCAGAGGAGGACCTGTGAGACAGCCAAGACCCACAAAAAACATGGAGAACCCCATCGAGTTGTTTAGCTTGTCAGCTCCCACCAAGTCCACCTAGAAAACACAGATGGGGAAATCGATGACATTTGATGGCAAATGACAGATTATGACTTCTCTAACTAGAGGTTGATAAGCAATCTCTTTAAATTTATTGTAAATAGATGTAGAAATAGTTTCTCTAGGACATATCTATGCAAATAACTATATAAAGAGTATATAGTATATAAAGAATATATAATGATATAGTTATTATTCTATGTTTCTTTATTAATTATATTGTAATTTGATAAGTGATATAAATCAACTAGAAATTAAAGTTTGTAGACTAAATTTACGATGGCTTGAGAAAGCCTCGTTTGAAAGTTTGAAGTTGCCTTAAAGTTTAAATCATTGAAGTAGTTAAAGAGGTTTGCAACAGTCGGGATAGATAAGTACATATATGTTAACATGTTGCTAGTATGGATTGGCATGTTTCTTGCTAAGGCTTTGCTAGGGTGTTCTGAGTGGTTGCTAAGGTGTTGCTAGGCAGTTGCTAAGTTGTTCTGAGTGGTTGCTAGGCAGTTGCTAACATAAATTAGCATGTTTCTAGTATGAATTGGCATGTTGCTAGCATGTTTCTAGTATACACTAGCATGTTTTTAGCATTTTCCCAGTGATGGGTTGCGGCTGGAAGGGCATCCGCTGCATAAAAACTTGCTGGATAAGTTGGCGGTTCATTCCGCTGTGGTGACCCCAGAATAATAAAGGGACTAAGCCGACAAGAAAATGAATGAATGAATGTTTTTTAGCATGAATTTATTATGAATTAACATGCTGTTAGTATGATTAGTATGTTTGTTAGTATGTTTCTAGTATGGATTAGTATATTACTGGTATGGATTGGTAAGTTGTTTGTATGTCCAATGTAAAGTCTATGGGAAGTCTATGGGAAATTTGCTAAGGTGCCGTAAGTGGTTGCTAGGGTGTGGCTAAAAAGTTGAAAGGTCATCACCAGTTGGCAGATTAGTAATCTGAGTTAAATGAGCCCAAATCTAAGCCTGTTTAACAGTCTGGCAAAAAGTTATGAGGTCACAAAGTTTGGTCCAATGTTAAGTCAATGGGACTTTTCCGAATTTTTTAGGTCAGTTTTCGGAAAACCGTAAGTCGGATCAGTTGGAAAAGATATAACGGACCGATTCAGACCAGTTTGGAGGTTTGGTGCTAGTTTGGTGGTCGAGTATGAATGGTCTAGGAGGAGATGCATATAGAAATTAGTCTCAGAAAAGAAGAATATTAGGTTTATGGAGTTTAACAGTATGTTGGCTTTTTCAAGCCACCATAACAACATCAATTATTTTTTAAATGCAAAAATTTTTGTAAAAAAAATAAAACTGTAATGTCATATTTGATCGGAACAGTAAAGTTTTATTATTTAATTTACTTATTTTTAAATATTTGATGAAACAAAAAAACAATCATTTGACTAGTGGTGTATATATTTCATTTGACCTGAACATTTCCAACATAGTGCAGAATGAAAATGATTTGAAATGCTTAATAGACAAGAAGAATTGCATTTTACATCTGCAAGTAATAACAAGCAATGACTTTGTGCTGCATTTTGCCTGACCAGTGTCTATTTAAAATACGGTTGCGCGTTGTCAACACACTGTTTTCCCCCATGGGCTTTTTAAGCTCTAACTCTGTCTATCTGGTTCACTCAGAATGTTTCCATAGGTTGTAAAAATATTTGAAAGGTAAAACCTAAGATTCCTTCCAGAGGAGCAGTCTGCCTGTCGATCCCTCTCTCCTTACACTGGCCTTCACAGTATTACAGAACATGAACTCAATACTAGAGAGAAGAGCACATGAAAGTGAAAGAAGCAGTACTCAGCATTACTATGTGTTCAAACCTTGATGTTCCACACATGCATTTTTAATGACCACAGCTGGGGTCACGACACCTAGGACATATTAAAACTGCTGGTAAATCTGGCAGCTTTGAAAAGTCCCTTAGTGCCAAAACTAAACTGTAAAAATGCTGGATTCCACACAATTCTTTTAGGTTGTTCCAAAACAAATTGATTAGGTTAACTTAATAATGTTTACACATTTAAGTGGATTGAACATAAAACAATTACTCTATCACGCAAAAAACTTACAAATTGTGCTGTTTCAACTTGTTTTAAATAATTAGCTTGAACAAGCAGCAAAAGTCTTTTTTGAGTGTATTAACAGAGAAAATTCTGTTTCTTTTTGTAATAAGTGATCTTATTGGTAAAGGCTGTTTACACTAGCTCAATCAGCCATTGACTGCTGAAACCAGACAGAATTGCAAAAAAAAAAAAAACAGAAGATAAACAATTATTCTACTTTTTGACATGACAAACCAAAGGTTATCGGTTATCTACTTTACCTAATCCACTTTCTTCTTAAGCCCAAGGTACATTTATTTAAAATAAAACTAAAATAAATTAAATAATTCAAATGTAAACAATTAATAAATATTTATTAGATCAAAAAATAACTAAAACAATCATGACTCTTTAAAAGTGGGTTTAAAAACACATTTAATCACGGTTTTCCTCCTGGACCTCCAGAAACACATTCATTCACCCTTTACTAATCATCAGGTTAAATATTTAGATATGGTAAGGTTAGGATAGTCATGACTCATGTACACTGAATATACTGGATAATGTTTTCACAACATAGTACACTACACTGAGGTTATTGTTTCCTTGTTCCTTATTTGGAGTGTGTGCAAATAACATCTAACCCTATTTACACTGCTATTTTCACCTATTGTGTAAACAGCACACAACACTATTTGCACTCTGCTTAAATTAGTTTTTTTTTTTGTTATGGGTATATTATATATAACAAAAACTCACTAGCCATTTTATTTATTAGGTACACCTTACTAGTACCGGGTTAGACCTATTTTTGCCTTCTGAACTGTCTTAATCTTTTATGGCATAGATTCAACAAGGTACTGGAGATATTCCTCAGAGATTTTGGTCCATATTGACATGATAGCATCACGCAGTTGCTGTAGATTTGTCAGCTGCATATCCAGGATGTAAATCTCCCGTTTCACCACATCACAAAGGTGCTCTATTAGATTGGGATCTGGTGACTGCGGAGGCCATTTAAGTACAGTGAACTCATTGTCATGTTCAAGAAACTAGTCTGAGATGATTCATGCTTTATGACATGGCTGGAATTATCCTGCTGGAAGTAGCCATCAGAAAATGGGTACACAGTGGTCATAAAGGGATGGACATGGTCAGCAACAATACTCAGGTAGGCTGTGGTGTTGACACGATGCTCAATTGGTACTAATGGGACCAAAGTGTGCCAAGAAAATATCCCCCACAGCATTACACCACCACCAGCCTGAATCATTGATACAAGACAGGATAGATCCATGCTTTAATGTAGTTGACACCAAATTCTGACCCTACCATCCGAATGTCACAGCAGAAATTGAGGCTCATTAAACCAGGCCACATTTTTCCAATCTTCTATTGTCCAATTTTGGTGAGCCTGTGCAATTGTAGCCTCAGTTTCCTGTTCTTAGCTGACAGGAGTGGCACCCGGTGTGGTCTTCTGCTGCTGTAGCCAATCTGCCTCAAACTTTGACATGTTGTGCATTTAGAGATGCTCTTCTGCATACCTCGGTTGTAGCGAGTGGTTTTTTGAGTTACTGTTGCCTTTCTATCAGCTTGAACCAGTCTGGCCATTCTCCTCTGATCTCTGGCATCAACAAGGCATTAGTGCCAACAGAACTGCAGCTCACTGGATATTTTCTCTTTTCGGACCATTCTCTGTAAACCCTAGATATGGTTGTGCATGAAAATCCCAGCAGATCAGCAGGTTCTGAAATACTCAGACCAGCCGATCTGGCACCAATCATGCCATGTTCAAAGTCACTTAATTCCCCATTCTGATGCTTGATTTGAACTGCAGTAGATCGTCTTGACCATGTCTACATGCCTAAATGCATTAAGCTGCTGCCATGTGATTGGCTGTTTAGAAATTTGTATTAACAAGCAGTTGGACAGGTGTACCTAATAAAGCGGCTGTTAAATGTAGATTGACCAAAAGTAGTGTAGGAAGGGGACATTTGCAGAATAATTTCTCCTTTGCATGTCTCAATAAGTATGCAATTGAAAGCAAATATAAAACGTTTCCACTTTCCAAACTATTCAATATGCTTAGAAATCCACATCAACATATCATCAATATATCTGAAAATAGATTGAAGAAACACTAAAATAAGCAATTAATATATTTTTGCATTGATCTTTTCTCTAAACAAATCCTGAGTTTGTTGAGGTTAACGAGTTAACAGTGCACAAGTGCAGCAACTTCTGCTTAGCGATGTGCTATAAATCCAGCAGCTCTAATCTCCATTGCAGTGCATGGGGCTATGGCATATATGGGCATAAACCAGACACATTGCCATGGAAATATAAAAGTTATGCATTCTAAATAACTCAATATAGCTGAGATTTTTACAATCTACTTGTAAAAGGGTTAAATTAAACTCAAATGTTGCACTGGTCATGTACACACCATTTCAGGAGAACCGCCCAAAAAAGATTTTTACCCTTGGTTACGTAATCAAGAGCCAGTCTCAAACAAATAAAAAGAAGAAAGTGAAAGTGAAAAGAAATACCCTGTGTTAAGTCCAAATCCTATTTTGAAATTTGACCCATGCTTGAGTCTGAGAGTCCACACTTGTCACTTTCAAGCCAATGAGTTAGACCTGAGGCAGCACTATAGAATATTCAGACATAAGCAACAGATCCAGATTGTAAATGTGAACTCATTTTTCAAGTTGTCAACTTGACGCTTTAAAGGCAACAGGTTTAAAGATTTTTAATGTATTTAATGGAGAATTTTTACATTGAAAAACTATTATGCAAAATTACTTGTTCCCTGTATTTTTGATTAAATAAATGCAGCTTTGCAAGCATATGAGACATCTATCAACAATAATACAAATCTCAGAAACACAAAACTGGTGTGAAGGATGGTGTAAATAGTGTAACATGAAAAACATCATAAGGTTTATTTTTACTTAATTGACATCTGACGTAAAGCCTCTTCAATCTATTTATAATTTAGTGACATCACAGGAACATTTGCTCTGATAACAACCACAACCATGATGTGCTGTACAAAGTGTTCAGAGCTGGTTTGTATTTGCTGTCTGTGCCGCAGTTCTGACTGTGTGTCTATTTGCTGCAGAGCTTTATTAAACAGTCCAGGAGAAGACCTAAGGCAGCACTATTGCATATTCAGACATATGCAACAGGTCCAGAATGCAAATGTGCACTCACTTTTTTAAGTGCAGTCAATGTAATGATTTCACAATAAAGAGTTTACCATTTTTTTTTAAGTGAAGTCAACTTGATGCTTTAAAGCAGGGGTCACCAATCCCGGTCCTGGAGCGCCGGTGTCCTGCAGATTTTAACTCCAGCCATAATCAAACACACCAGAACAAGCTAATCAAGGTCTTACTAGGTATACTTGAAACAATCAGACAGGTGTGTTGAGGCAAGTTGGAGCAAAACCCTGCAGGGACACCTGCCCTTTAGGACCAAGACTGGTGACCCCTGCTTTAAAGGCAATGGGTTTACTCACTTTTTTAAGTGAAGTCAACTTGATGCTTTAAAGGCAATAGGTTTACTCACTTTTTTAAGTTAGGTCAACTTGATGCTTTAAAGGCAATAGGTTTACTCACTTTTTTAAGTGAAGTCAACTTGATGCTTTAAAGGCAATGGGTTTACTCACTTTTTTAAGTGAAGTCAACTTGATACTTTTAAAGTAATGGATTTACTCACTTTAAGTTTAGTCTTAAGTCTTGCCTTTAAGTTAAGGCAATGCTTTAAAGGCAGTAAGTGCACATTTACATTTACTCACTTTTTTAAGTGAAGTCAACTTGATGCTTTTAAAGTAATGGGTTTACTCTCGCTTAACTCGCTTTTTAAGTTAAGTCAACTTGATTCTTTAAAAGGAAAGTTTTACTCACTTTTTTAAGCAAAGCAACTAATCACTTTTTATAGCACATCATTTGGTCCTGACTGGCATCCTGTTTGACGGGTGCTGAATCTGTATATTCTAACTCTTCATGATCTCTGAAAGAATTTTCTTTATTGTGAAAATGGTTCATGTTCAGTACTCACCAGTACAGGAAGCAGGAGAGCCATGTACCCTCCACAGAAGATGGCAAAAAAGACAGCGTAAACCATGAGCAAGATGTACGAGGTGGCCAGAGGAGACAGAAGGTTGACCACACCGCACAGAATCAGGTAAGCTTTATGATAATGATATTTATGCACCAGATTCCTGTCCGTCACCCAGCCAGATGCAAGCTGAGCCACCGTCTCTGTTATACCTGTCACAGAGAAAAGCTGTTGAACTGAAAACTGAGCACCGAGTGTATACAGTGTTGCAGAACTGTAGTAGATTGAGCACAACTAGCAAAACATTCATGAATGAGTACATCTTTATAAATGAGCACAATAATTAGTGCCTCTTCCTCATATTAGCAGGAAGAGTGGCATTTAGATGAATATACAAATGCTTGCACTTCTCCATCACAAAATAACCATATCTAACTACTTCAACAGTGAGAAAACAGCAGTTTAATATTCATCTGATAAAACCAATGTAGATGTTTGCACACAAACTGAATTTCAGCTTCCAGTCAAGTCATGTTTATTTACATAACAATTTATAAAGTTTTTTCAAGTTACCTTTATATTACGTTTTGTCAAGTTACCTTTTTTATAGTGCTTTATACTATTAAAGCCGCTTTACAAGGATGAACAATCTAATAATTAAAGTCAACACATTTATACAGAAGGCTGCTTTATCTCAAAAGGAAATAATGAAAAGGAGAAGAATTTATTTGAAACAATAGTTTGTTATCAACAGTGGAAATAGCAAATCAGCATATTAGAATGACTTTCTGACTGATGGTGTGACTGTAAGAACTGCAATTACGATGCTAAAAATTTAGATTTGCCATCACAAAAATGAACAACATTTTAAAATGTTCTAAACAGAGAAGTTTTACATTGATAAACTATATTGCAGTGTTACTCTTTTTCTGTATTTTTGATCAAATAAATGCAGCCTGGTAATATGAACAGAGGCAGACTTAACCAATAAGCGAGTTAAGCAGCCGCTTAGGACCCCGGGAAATTAGGGTGCCCGACCAATGCCAAGAACCCTTTATTAATCATATAGCTCTTTTATACATTTTCTTCCATATGTTGTAAAATCTGTCTAGAACTGTTAAGATTTGAATGTTATTACTTATTTTCAAAATCGGGAGGCCTCCATGAATAATGGAACATTCTGTCCGCACTGCACATGTGCGAGGTGTGAGCGCTTCAATCAAAGACACTAACGTTACTGCCAACCATTGTTGCCAACTTAGCGACTTTTCAGGCCCCCCTAGCGCAAAATTTTCAAAAAAACCAACTAACAAATGCTTTAGGAGTTACTGAAGAATTTTAGAGACTCTCATATGTTTGTGCTGTAACATTCCTAGCATTACTCTTCGCAATGAGCTGCAGGTGATGTCATCGGTCTTCTCCCCCACCTCAAAGCACTCAAAGGCGGCATAGTGCCACATAGCCGTCTGTCACACCTGCAGCCTTAAAAGCTGATCATTCCTCTTCATGTCGATGGCAATTGTTTTAGCACAGCAAGTGTGAGGTATTTCCTTGGTACAGTCAAACCCATCTGCTTCTCCTCTGTTTTAAATGTAATAATTTAAATAGACCAATTATTTTTGCTGCTGTCTGGCCGAAACACCTGTCAGATGATGTGCGCTGTGAGCATGTTAAGAGATCATGGGCTTGTTCCCAATGAACAGTAACGGGCACGCATTCAGCAAATACTCAATTCATATGAAAAATTATGAAAATTGTTATTACTATTAAAATCTAATCACAAAAATGGCTAATTAACTGTACATCGGGGTGCCCAAACTTGGTCCTAGAGAGCCAGTGTCCTGCAAAGTTTAGTTCCAGCCCCAGTCAGACACACCTGGGCTAGCTAATGAAGCTCTTACTAGGCTTTCTAGAAACATTTGTGCAGGTTTTTTGAGACAAGTTAGAGCTAAAATCTGACACCAGCCCTCTAGGACCGAGTTTGGACACCCCTGCAAAGTTTGTGAACTTGTTTTTTTTTTATTAGTTCATTTATTGCTTTTAATTTTACATTAGGAAGATAATGGTTCATTTAAATATTAAAAATATAAAATATATTTTATATACAGTTCAAGTCAGAAGTATTAGCCCCTCTTTGAATTTGTTTTTCTTTTTTAAATATTACCGAGATGATGTTAAAAAAAGGAAATTTCACAGTGTGTCTGATAATATTTTTTCTTTTGGAAAAAAGTCTTATTTGTTTTATTTTAGCTAGAATAAAAGCAGTTTTTAATGAAAATAATCAAAATTATCAGCCCCTTTAAGCTATATTTTTAAAATAAATAAATAATTTTTAAAATAATAATAAATAATAATTGCCTAATTACCCTAACTTACCTAATTAAGCCTTTAAATGTCACTTTAAGCTGTTTAGAAGTGTCTTGAAAAATATCTAGTAAAATATTATTTACTATCATCATGGCAAAGATAAAATAAATCAGTTATTAGAAATGAGTTATTAAAACTATTATGTTTAGAAATATGTTGAGAAAATAAAATAAATAAAAAATAAACAGGAGGGCACGCACACGCACACGCACACACACACACACACACACACACACACACACACACACACACACACACACACACACACACACTTTTTAACATGCAGTTTATTATTCAAAAATGCTTGGCCCAATACCTGGAGTTACTTAGAGCCTCCAAATCACTAAGACCGGCTGTTTAAATATAACTTTAGCAACATGTAAATTCAAGCAAATCCAAAAGTTACCTCACATAAAGCCTCTGCAATCTATTTATAATTTAGTGGCAGCACAGGAACATTTGCTACGATAACAGCCACAACCATGATGTGCTGGTTTGTATTTGCTGTCTGTGCCGCAGTTCTGACTGTGTGTCTATATGCAGCAAAGCTTTATTGAGAAGTCCAGGAGAAGACCTGAGGCAGCACTATTGCATATTCAGACATACGCAACAGATGCAGAATGTGACATTCACTGCTCATGTGCAGCCTGGTGAAACACAAAACATACCATCACATCTCCTCTGTTATTCATTCATAAAGTCCTATAGATTTACAAAGCTGTTAGCATGACTCCTCATAGTGTCCGGCTCATGTAGAACTGATGCACATGTGGGGGTCATTTATTGCTGGCCAGACATAAGACAAAACAGCTGCTCGATGTTTGCATGTCCTCGGTGCGCCACTAAAGGTGACGTCCTGGTGTGCCTCGCTTGGACCCGAAGACATTTTTTGCATTGTTTGTGTGTTTAAATCCCAGCAGGGCCATTGAGTTTACAGCTGTTCCTGTCAAGCGTTTGCACAATGAATCTCAGTGACAAAAAGTAGGAAAATGGAGGTCCACAAAACTCTGAAGAATACAGGAGGACTTCCACCCGGGTAATCGGGCATGTGACAGGTGTTTGTGTCTTTGTGCACTTCACTCAGAGGACACAAAAGAACTGGACGAATGCAGTGTCCCCACTACATCAAAGACCTACAATAGGCCCTCACTGAGGTACAGAGCGCCCAAATGCGTGTCCGATCGCTACCAGCTCATTAAAACACAAAACGTGTTTGGCTGGTCTCCCCGCACTCTTTTGTCCACATTGCTGCCTCAGTGGCGGCAACACAATGTCAGGCACTTCAGAACTGGGCACAGAAGCACCAAACCTCACGGCAGCTACTTGGACTGTTGCTTAGCGACTTGGCTCAGCGAGTGACCTGCCACGAGGAGCCGGAGCTTTAGTTTTCTGCTCACTCTGACCAATGTGAAAACAGCCCTCAGACTGCAGGTGGGAGGAGGAGGGGGAGCTTTGGAATGTTTGAGGTGTTTCCCAATTTGCATACTTTTGGACTCTTCTACGCTATCAATGTTGCGTGTGGTGTGTAAACACTAAAAAGTGCACCTCGGAAATCCATCATCCACTTGTATGGACCCCTAAAAGGACTTAGTGGTGAAAAAACATTGGAGGTCAAAGAAAAATATTTCTCTTGCTAAGCTTTTTAAAGATCCCCTATTATGGGTTTTTGAAAATGAGCTTCCATGCAGTGTGCAACACAGCACTAAGTGAATGAAAACATCTACAAAAAATACCACAGCATGCAGCATAAACACCTACACACACACATACACTATGGCCAATTTAGTTTATTCAATTCACCTACACTGCATGTCTTTGGACTGTGGGGGAAACAGCAGCACCTGGAGGAAACCCTTGTAAATATAGGGAGAACATGCAAACTCCATACAGAAATGCCAACTGACCCAGCCGGAACTCAAACCAGCGACCTTCTTGCTGTGAGATGACAGTGCTAACCACTGAGCTACCATGTCAGCCACCCATTTCCAAAGCTGTATTAAATTGTATGATAAAAACCAGTATCCTCTGCCCTGTTTATGGTCATATATGACATCATGACCTGTTTTTGGTTTATATAGATGTCTTTGGTTCATGTTGCATTCATATTTAATTTAACCAACATCAGAGTTCATTACAGGGTTTTCACTTCACTTGTTTGGTGTTCACGCTTATTAAAATGAATCATACTAAAGTAGTAATCACAATAGAATGAATTTAAATCTATCCAAACCCAACTAGGTATCCAAGGTATCCTCCAAGTGGGAGGATTTACACCGCAAGTAGGTGGGGTGACCTCAAAGTGGGAGGGACTGATGCCACAAGTGGGCTGGGTTTAGGTTATTGAAACACAAGAGGTTACTGTGAGGTTTGGTTAAGGGTTGGGTTAGGTGTAGACGTTAAAAATATTGTAAATCTGTTCATAGCTTATCCAACCTGTATATAATGTTCATAGTACATCCATCCCATCTGTAAATATCACCATAGTTTTCTTTAACTGCACTTTATAACTTATTCCTGTATCCTGCACTTGCTGCTATTGCACTGCTGGTTAGACCTAAACTGCATTTTGTTGCATTGTACTTGTACATGTGTAATGACAATAAAGTTGAATCTAATCTAATCTAATAAAACACAAGAAGTTACTGTGAGGTTGGGTTTAGGGTTGGAGCAGGTGTAGACGTTATTGATACACAACAGGTTACTGTGAGGCTGGGTTTAGGGTTGGGGTAGGTGTAGACCAGGGCTATTCAATTAGTTTGTCATGGGCGCCAGTTCATGAAAAACATCCCAAATGAGGGGTCGGAGAGATATAACTTGCCTTATAAGTGATGACACAACGCATACAAGGTACAGTTTGCCCCCTTTTGATTTTTTTTTCTCTTTTAAATATTTCCCAAACGATTTTAACAGAGAAAGAAAATTTTCACAGTATGTCTGATAATATTTTTTCTTCTGGAGAAAGTCTTAATTGTTTTATTTCGCCTAGAATAAAAGCAGTTTTTAATTTTTTTAAAATCCATTTTCGGGACAAAAATATTAGCCCCTTTAAGCTTTTTTTTTTCCATAATCTTCAGAACAAACCATCGTTTTACAATAACTTGCCTAATTACCCTAACCTGCCTAGTCCACCTTATTAACCTAGTGAACCCTTTAAATGTCACTTTAAGCTGTATAGAAGTGTCTTGAAAAATATCAAGTAAAATATTATTTACTGTCATCATGACAAAGAGAAAATAAATCAGTTAATAGAAATAAGTTTTTAAAACTATTATGCTTAGAAATGTGCTGAAACAATCTTCCCTCCGTTAAACAGAAATTGGGGAAAAAATAAACAGGGGTGATAATAATTCAGGGGGGCTAATAATTCTGACTTCAACTGTATATTTTTGCTACTTAAGACACCCATGTTGGATACATAAATTTTGTATTTATTAAATAAATAAAATGTCCAGTTTTGTACAGCTCACTTGGAGTTCAAGTCTCACCACTGTTTATACCCTTCCGTTTATACCTAAAATTTCAGTTACTTTCTGATTTGTTTGTTAATAAACTTGAGAAACTGTAAACAAACAAATCAATAAATGATGTAAGCAAGTAGTGTAAAATCTGCAGCAATTTATTTCTATACACTGCTTCTAATTTTAGGCCACGGCCAATTTGTTTTGTTTATTTTCTTAACGGAGCACAATTACGTATTCATCTAAATGTTGTTCTCAGCAGTGTGGAAAGTGTTTGGATGGTATTTACAACAAAGAACATGAGCATATCAGTAACACTGAGTCTCTCTCTTGTACATTACATGTGCACAAGCGAGAGCGAGCAATAAGTTTCAGGCTGCAATTCACATGACAAACACTGGTGTCGCACATAAGGGTTTCTAAAGCCTACAAAGAAATAATACATTAATAATTTGATCTTTTGGTTTAAAAAATTAATAATTATTTTTTAAATAAATAACGTCTCATTCATTCAGTGGGGCATTATTGATGGGACACCCTCTAGTTTTAGCCACTGGGCCAAAGTTCATTTTTTATGTAAGAGCACTCATTGCATAACACTGCAGATTTTAAAATGCCCACAAATAATTAATGCGAACTTGGCTGCGTTTTTGCATCCACCCTTTAAAGCCCATCTTAGATCACATCTTGCTGTGAAGCACAACGGCCGTAGTGCATCTCTTAGGTACAACATAATGGCTTTCCTGGAAAACAGCATTGATGAAACCAGAAAAAAACAGCATCTATTTCAGACTGTCCACTAGGACTGTCATTATGCTGCCTTTCGTCTTTCCATTTTCCACAGCATAGCTCAGCAGGGCTTACAGCTTATTGATTTCCTCTACTGTTACGCATTACTAGTGTACGCTTGCAGACAGAGGACAACACTAACAAACATGCTGAGTCTGAGTACAGCACGCTCAAAATAGGTTACTTGTTAAATGTAATCACAAATGATTTCCATACTAATGCAAGATGAATTCTGCTAAAAGCACTTAATATTTCAAAGGGATGACGGTGCAAAAACATGACTCTAGGGTTCCATAATAAGACTCACCAGCCACAGAGATGATGAAGGAAGCATCCATGGGGTCGATTCCCAGATTCCGGGCTCTCGCAGACAAGTGAAAATAAGGGATGAAATAGGCCAGCTGACTGAAGACCAGCGACCAGGTGTAGATGCAAAAGAAAGGGTTCTTCAACAGAGAGAAGTCCAGCACTTTTGGGGAGTTTTCAGGCACATTTTCTGTTCTGCCGTTCTCAAGTAATGAATCCACAGGAGAAACCCCATTCATCTCGGGGGAAGTTTTAGTTTGGCTGCTGTCCGTTCCGTTCACTCCGTTCTGGGTGGGTTTTTTGAGATCCAGGTGAGGGAGAGAGTTCTGCTCGTGAACGGGGTTTTTTATTATAAGTGTGTCTTTGTGAATGGGGGGTGAGCTGTCTGATTTGGAAGTGCCATTGGCTACTGGCGTGTTGCCGTTCATATTGTTTTTGAGAGGATCTTTCTCAGTCTTATGAATGGTGGAGTTTGAAATGGGTGAAGCTGGATGTCTAATGTTAATGGGCCGCAGAAGCATCCCAGAAGCCACCAGGTTCAGCATTAGACCACCCAAAATCAGCAGTGCTCCTAAATACAGAACAGAAGTCTGTCAGTGACAATAGTGACATTTTTATTTTATATATTCATGTCATTACTTTGGTATTTTTGTATCTCCCTGGCATTTTTAAATCATGAATTATAATCTCTAAATTGCATTTTCATTATAAAAAAAGTGTAAAAAACTTTTTAAATTAAATGTAAAAATTGATATATAGTGCATTTACGTTTCATTGTCGTTTGGCACAATTTTTGCAAACTTTACACTTATGCAGAGTTCAGACTGCACAATTTTCAAAGTAGTCGTGTTACAGATATTTTTACATTGCATGACTATCTGGGGTAGCATTTCTTCACTGCTGTGTTTACACTGCCGGATGGATCGGCGACGAGGTTTCACATTGCATGACGTTAAAATAGGAAAAATCTCCTACAACTTTGTCTTGGTCCGCAAACTACGTCTCACAACCAAACACATGCGAGAAGTGGCATTGAAACAACATGAGGTCAAGTAGTATATCTTTTGTTATTAACTACATACTGAGAAAGAAGCCTTTAGTGGGGTAGAAAATGTCCTTATTTTGCTCACCTGGATTTTGAAGGGAATAAGCAATTTCTCCTCAACTTATTTTTTTATCTAGCCAGTTGGGATATTGCTCAGATACACGTCAAACAGACACGGGTGCTCCTGCCAAATTTACACTAGTTTGTCCTCTATTTTTTGGGTTCAATTAGACTGAAAAGAAGCACTTTTTACTTCTTCCTCAACCTCCTGCTGGCCTGCAGATACCCATACTACTGAATGCTGGTTTCTCATTGGCTGCAGTTGATCTTTTCAATCAGTACACATTTCACATGCCATGTTTTTTATTCGGCGACAGGTCCAAATATTTAGCATGCCAAATATCTCAGGGGTGTCAGAGACTCATTGGCGATTCCCTCAGATCACGTCTTTGATAGTTCAAGCCTGGTTTATACTTAAAGTCCGGTAGTTTGAGTTGAGCGTGTGTGGCAAATGTGATGTCATCGCTGTGTTTGCGGAGGTTCGCTATCAGTGCATGCGACATGATTTCGACTGGTGGAGTGCATAATTTTTTTTTTAAACTTGAGCGAACAGTTCGCTTGGTGCCGCGTTTGATTTGAGTTGAAAATGAATAATTTTGAAGAGATTTTGTCTGAAACAGGTACGCCTGTTCAGACATCTTTATGATCCGTGATTAATAATTCTTTGCTAGAAACTGCAACAGCAGTGGGAAAGAAATAACTTTTTTGTTAAAAAGTTTTGAAAAAGCTGAGGGATAAGTTTGTTAAAGCTATAAGAGGCCATAGAAGAAACGGAGACCCGGGTACACAACTACAGAATATGTTTTTCCACTAGTCATAGGTTTTACACTGATGTAGATATTACAATTTTGAATTTAAAACAATTTAATAGTTACAAAACTATAATTAAGGAATGAATTATTTCTTTGATAACTAGAAAGGAATATTTGAACCTATTGGTGTACTATATACTGATGCCCTGTTTTTCTAGGCTTTATTGGTGATAATGGTCAGGAATGTTGGACCATTAATGCCTTTTTAGCATAAGAAGACAAACTAGCCAGGCTGTAATGTGTAAATTGTGAAGTGGGCCAAATCTAAATCTAAAAAAAAAATTTTTTTAGTGTGTCCTTTTTTGCTTTTATTCCTGCCATAATAAATTATATTTGTAAAGCAACCCATATTCTGTTGTCTTTAATATTTTAATAAACTTTAACAAGTAAAAAAAAAAAAGCAAATGATGCATCAAAGTTTGATTAAACAAATCTTGAGTGTTTATAAAAATCCTTATAATTATTAAAATAATTTATAAAAATTTGTTTAAAAATATTAAATGATATTAATGATAAGACGTAGTTCCAGAAAATTTTTACTTCTTTGTTTATCTGCCTGACTTTACAGTCAGTTTCTTTAGAATGAATATCTCAAAGAGGTGTGCGCGCAGTCAGCGGAGGTATCCAGTTTCCAGCTTCACACTGTGTGATTGTTACTCGTGTGAACGAGCACCGGTTTGCCTGTGATTTCGGACATTTGTCATCGATTTCTGTTGGCGAGCTAAATCGGGGCTAAAATCATGCAGTCTGATCTTGGCACTAATCAATCTTTTTTTTCAAATATATAATAGAATAAATGTTCATACTAAATTTATTATATTTAAAATGTTTAATACTAGTTTATTAAGAAGTACTTTTGGGGCTGAGCTATGATTCTTAAATTCTTTTAAGGGGTCTTTTAATATATCATCAAAAACCACAAGAAAAAACTAAAGTGTAAAATTGTAAAGTTTTTTTTTTTTTTTACATTTTTATTGTTTTGGTGCTTAAAACATCTATAATACATATTTAACAAAAAACAAACATGATTATTAGATATAATTGTATGCTGATATTCCAAATTTAACAGTAATGTAGCTGAATGCCAATTACCCTGCCAAGCATACTGATCCAAAAGTAGCTGAGTGAATGGAGCGAGGGCAAAGGTCAGACCCATGCCAGAGCGTCCAATGGAATATGCCGTTGCCAGCCTCTTTCGGAAATAGGTCACTATTACAACAGATGTGGCCTGATAAAGAAGAGCAAACCCGAGTCCTGGAAAAATCAAGTTTGTGAATGACTTTTTGCATAATAATCTTAGCATCAACATTTAAAATCAAATACTCACCAACAACTAACCCCATGCTAATGTAAAGGTAGGTCACGCTGGTGGCAAATATGCTGAACAGAAAGCCAGCACTAACAAAAAGCGCCCCCACTATGGAGGTAACCCTATTCCCCAGCTTTGCACAGGCCACTGAAGCCAATGGACCTAAGGGTTACAAACAAAATTGAGGTCACAACCAATCATGCTGATCAAAGATGGCTGTTTATATTGACCATACCTCCGGAAAGCCTGAGGCTGGACATGATGGATCCAATCCAGCTGATGCTCTCGGATGACCCTCCAAATTCATCCTGCAGAGCCACGAAAAAGATCCCAAAGGTCTTCAGTGTACCCATAACCAGCACGTTCACCTGAAAAGACACGGCAGAGTTCAGTTGAGTTTAGATCGATGGAGTTGTATCACAGCAAACAAGCTTTAAATCAAAGTCTATAACCGCAGGACTCACGACATACCAGGAAACAATGCAGAACCACCATCCAACCCCACCCGCCATCTGGTGGCTCCCGATACACAACCTTCTTCTTTTCCTTCTTCATGACCTTGGCTTTTAGCTCAGAGCATGGGGTTTTAGCAGTCTTGCCATCACTGAAACATCACAGCATTCGTTTATCATTAAACAATGTGATCCTGGTGCACAAAACCAGTCATAAGTGTGAGTTTTTTTTAAATTGAGATTTATAGATCATAAATTAATAAGGTTTCTATTAACGTATACTTTATTAAGATATGGCTGAGATGTAACTATTTGAAAACCTGGATGCGTTCCTGAAAAAGAAAATGTAAATACTGAAAAAAAGACCTTTAAATTTGTCTTAATGATGTGCTGTGCAATGCATTGTTTGATATCTTAATGGTTTTTGACATTAAAAAAAAAATCAATAATTTTGACCCATACAAGGTATTTTTGGCTATTGCGATAAAAAATATTAAGAGATTGATGAATAGCCAACCACAACCATCCAAAATCAAAACGTTTCATTTATTGATTTATTTTTTGGATATTTGTTTAGTTTTGATGCCCATTATTTTGAATAGAAGAAAGTCACAGAAAAAAAAAAAAAAAACAAATCACAGAATTCAAGAAAAATATAAATAAGACACATAAGATAAATGGTAACTAAAATCATCACATAACAGCAACAATTTAAATGTTATTTTAGCATTAAAAACAAAATCTATGAGAAAGTTTTGTTTTTTTTACTAAACTTCTTGGCAGGTTTGGGAAGACTTAATTGAATTCTAGTGTGCTTGCTACTTTAGTATGATTTGCTACTGATGATCATGTCAGATTTTGATACTGATATGAAGTATGTCACTTAAATGTGTTTTTGAGATTTTACTATTTCTTCACATAGAGACAGTACTTGGTCTTGGTATGCCTGATATATCTGGCCGGAGGTATTGCAAATATGGATGTTGAGTGATTGGAGTTTCCTTGAAAGGGGCCATTTTGATAAATATAGTACTCTTTACCTTCTGAAACCATCCCATCTCAGTGAAGAAATAACTATTTTAACATTTGGCAAATTAGTAGCCTTCAAATAAATCTTCAATTTCGTATGTCAAAATAAACCTACTTCCCTGAATGACAAATAGGATTCATTAATTCAATAGACAATGATCTGTTTAAATTAACACCAACAGGGTAAAAAAAATACATAGTTGTTTTGATCTGGTGCTGATCTGTTAAACATTTTCTCTTCCAGGAGGCAATGTACTGTGATGTAATCTGTACTGTTATTTTGTTTAGAGTGGTTAAAAATTGAGTAAACATCAGGATGCTACTGGTTTAAACTGGTTATGAGTATGACGTGAAGTGTTCTCAATCATGCCCCGAGTCCTCTTTATATACAGCTGATACAGCGGAATGTATGTCTAGCACAGTGATTAAAATGATAGACCGAAAGAACGGTCAAAGGCTAACGGGTTTGTTCAAACAAACACCTGGCATGAAGTTAACCAAACGCTGGGCCCCTGTGCAGAGCGGTGGATCGTCTGAAATATTTCACAGAGATAAACACTTGCACAACTATAAATACTGAGCAATCAAATACAGCACCTCAGGTGCATGCAGCTCAAGCAAAAATCTGATGACATTTGCTGATTTACTGAATTGCTAAAAGAGAATTTACCCTGATTTGAGTGAACCCACAACGTGAAAAAATGACTTTAACAACATAAATAACATTAAGATGCAGTAAATTTTCAAAATTCCCTGCATGACATTTCACTTTAAAGTTTTTGTTTTTGACATAACTAGCTTTCTTTTTTCTTTATCAGCTCTGTGGTAAATTGTTATTTCACATCTAATTTTGAGGTGGCTCGGTGGCTCAGTGGTTAGCACTGCCGTGTCACAGCAAGAAGGTTGCTGGTTTGAGTCCCAGTTGGGCCAGTTGGTATTTCTGTGTGGCGTTGACAAGTTCTTCCTGTGTTGGCGTGGGTTTCCTCCGGGTGCTCTGGTTTCTCCCACAGTCCAAAAACATGCATCAGAGGTAAATTGGTTAAACAAAATTGGCCTTAATGTATGAGTGAATGTGAGAGTGTAGGGGTGTTTCTCAGTACTGGGTTGCTGCTTGAAGAGCATCTGCTGTGTACAACATATGTTGGAATAGTTGGCAGTTCATTTCACTGTGGCGACCCCTGATAAATAAGGGACTAAGCAGAACAAAAATAAAATGGTGAAATCTAATTTTGATAAATAATGTTAATTACATTACTTTAGTGTCGTGTGTACACCGTGTTTAGAAGTTTTGTTGATGACACTGAGCAACTTGGATGTAGTAATATGTTTCACTGCTTGTGTAAATGTAGTTTGTGATGAGCTATCAATTAACAATTCTTACAAAATAAACATTGTAAATTGCTTGCACACTAACAGTTTTAGTTTTTGACTACAAAAAATCTCTGATTTAAATTTAACAGCAAGCAGATTAGAAAGGTTTACTAAGCAGCTTTGGTGTTTCTGTCCTTAGTTTAAAGCAGGGATGCCCAAACTATTTCGTATGAAGGGCCAAAAACTAGATATCATTGAGAGCTGTTGGCCGAAGATACACATACCAAACTAAACTACAAAGCATAATCACATTTATAACAGTGGGGTTCAATGCTGAATACACTAGTTAAGCAGAAAATGCCTTTGCCTTGATTCACTCACCAAAGTCTCTGCATTATCCTCTACCTGTCGTATGTACATTTGAAACAAAATCAAATTAATTTACACCATTTAAATGGAATTATTTAATTTCAGATAGTGTTTTTTAGCTTAAAAATAAAACAAACAAATTAAAGTTTAATTAAATTTGAAATTACAATCTCTAAACCATTCTCAGATGGGATAGCGAGCCAAATCAAAGGTTACCAAAGGCTAACTTTGGCCCACAGGCTCTAGTTTGGGCATCTCTGGTTTAAAGGAACAATTAACTACTTTGGAAATAAGCTCATTTTACAAGTCACATAGAGTCAAACAGTTTATTTTTACCATTTTTTAATTCATTCAGGTCTTCGGGTTTGGTGGGAACACATTTAGCTTAGCTTAGCATAAACCATTGAATCTGGATTAGACCATTAGCATCTCACTTATGACTGAAGCATGTGCAGGAGATCAGCTGAATGGATGGCAAAACTTTACTGTTTAACTCTAGGTGACTTGTAAAGCGAGCCTATTTTTTAAAATAGTGGAGTGTTTCTTTAAGTGAGTAGATGTTTTAAAGTTCTAACTTAACAGTTTCAATCTTTGTCCACACAGCAGGCTCTAATTTACATTAATTGAGCAGCAGATTTATTTTGCTGAAAAGACCTTAGAATTCCTATCATGTGATAAAACATATATAGAGAAATTTACAGGCACAATGTTCAGTAAATCATTGTGAAAGTTATCATAGCGGGGACCCCATACATATCACTGAGAGCCATTATCAGCTGTCAGGGGCCCTGGTGCTGTGGCAGAGGCTAGATGGCTACTGGGGCTGACTGCTCTTTAGTTGTTATCTGGGGAAATAATGTGAGCGAGTTTATATCCAGCAATTACTAGTTCTTCCATATTCTGGATTCTGAAGGGATGGATAATGTGTCTGGTAAAAGAAAGGCTGCGTGCCTGGTGTAATATGTTGTCCTGGCTGTTTTCCAAGAGATCATCCTTGATTGTTGAGTCTTGAAGCTGTTCAAGATATGTAACAGTCTATCTGTGGTGAGCTCTGTCTGCAAGGTACAGCAGACACAGTGTGTCCGTGAGCAGTGGTTGTTGTGACTGCTTGGTGTTATCGTTGGCCTTGTGGGAAGTGTCAACCTCATGGCTATGTTGCTGACATGATATGCTAAAGGGCATGCTCTTTAGCCTCCTTGTTATAGCAACCGACTCCCATGCGGAGAGTCGCTGGTTCGATCCCAGCTCCGAGCATGTTGGGTAGCGGCGGGGTTACATTGGTGCCGTGACCCGGATGGGAGTGAGGTTTAGGGGGTTGAGTGTAGCAGATGCTAGCTAGTGAAGTGCTGTGCAGGTAAACCTTAATCCTCTGAGCTATAAAGGTGCTCTAGCGACAGATGCTAGTGGCCATAGTCTTTAGCCCCTTTGTTAGAGCAACCGACTCCCATGCAAAGAGCCGCTGGTTCGATCCCAGCTCAGAGCGGGGTTACATACATATATGCTGCTAAAGAAAATACATCAGTTACGGTCAAAGAGGATAAAGACTAAAGAAAGGGATATATGGGTCAAATATTAAGACATTAAACAATTACTTGCAGCAATATATGGACTATTTGCATACTTCAGGCCATCCTGAGTATTTTATAAGCACAAAGTATATTTGTAATGCAATGGGTCACACTTTACAATAAGGTTCATTAGTTAATGTTACTTAATGCATTTACTAACATGAACAAACAATGAACAATACATTTACTACAGTATTTATTCATGTTAATAAACGTTAGTTAATGAAAATACAGTTGTTCATTGTTAGTTCATGTTAACTCGTGGTGAATTAACTAATGTTAACAAGCAAGGACTTGAATGTTAATAATGCATTAGTAAATGTTCAACTATGATTAATAAATGCTGTACAAGTGTTGTTCATGATTAGTTCATGTTATTAAATGCATTAACTAATAAACCTATTGTAAAGTGTTACCATGCAATGCTAATCGACCTAGCCATTATAACTGTATGAAATAGTATGGTTTATTTCTCACTTTTTAATATTAAACCATGTCTGCTCACAACAAAATTTTTTATTTTTAATGCGTGATCTATCGCACACGTACTATTGTAATAATGCATTGCACAGAATGGTTTTGTTGTTAAAATTACAATGTTTTTTTTTTTAGTGTGCGGAGTATTTTTACCTGTATATTGCAAAATATAAGATATCGCCCATCCCTAACACACATCTAATGGATGATGGAGGGAGGAGTAAATACTGTCCTTTAGCACCAGTGTTGTTTTGGGTGAAGGGAGCCTGATGTAAATAGTTGCTTTACAGTAGGCATAGTTCACTCATTGTAACTCATGCATTAATTTTTCTCCAAAAAATTTCTTTCTTTTGTAGAATACTAAAAGTAAACTTTAATGGAAACATCAATGTTCCCAAATAGTGCTAGAGAATGTGGACTTAAGGCTGATTTATACTTCTGCGTCAAACGCCGGCGTATGCTATGCACGTCGTAACAACGCGTAGCGCAAGCTCTGCGATTGGTCGGCTTGGTAGCGCTGACGAGTCTGGGCGGGACAGAGAGCCGCGCGAATGGCGCGAGGGATTGTTTACAAGTGTGGAGTCCCGTGAAGGAGCTCCGGATGGAAAGTTTCGTTCTGTGTTTACCTCATGGTTAAAGTTGTTGCACGTCCGCCAGTTCCTGCCTCAAAATGAGCGAGTTTGAGTCACTTGTACTTCCAGGAAGTGTTCAGGAAAAGCAAAACAGAAGCGAAGAAACTCGACACAGAGGAACATTTACACCTCACTGCCAACTAGCGTTTCGGAAGTGTTAATGCAGACCAACAGAGACAGCGCGCAGAAGTATAAATGCACAGCTGTGCGCGTTGCCTGCGCCATGAGTTACGCCGGTCACTTGACGCAGAAGTATAAACCAGGCTTTAAAGGGCGTACTCAAACTGTACAGTTGCCTTAAAACGTGGTGAAGCGTGATTGTCCCGCTTCCCCTCCCCTCTCCCCCGAACTCACACTGCATTTTGCCTTCCGAGCCAGAGCATGCTTACGTCATCAATTATGGGACTGTTCAGTTTAACAGAAGAGAAACGCTCTCGCTGGGCACAGTGGACATTGCTATATTTATATCGTGTTGTATTATTTTTGGTCGTTTGAGATGCAGTGACACTCAAATATTTTCCAAAAAAGATCCATTGCTTTTGACGCTCATAAAAGTTCATGAAAATCCTTGTGCTGCAAGTATGAGGAGGTTTGCTGAAGGTGCAGCTGTTGTGCAGCGAGGGGTTTCATCTTTAATAAACTATGACAGTTATGTTTATTGAACAGTAGGAATCATTTTAAAAATCCATATGAAACAGTCCCTTAAATGTGACTTCAAGTCTTTAGTTTCGAGTTTTGTAGTGCCCTCACACTATAAGCATACCTCACCAAAGCCCAACCGAACTGCGCTATGGCACACCTCTTCCAACCAGGCCAGGGGCGGCCAACTGAACTATGCCTGGGCCTGATTCAGAGCACTCACACTTGTCAAACAAACCAGGAAACAGGCACAGTTTTGATAGCCTAGTGTGAGTGCACCCCAAGTTCCAGAAAGCACTATAAAAGCAACATAGAAGTACTTTTAATGACTTGTGCACTGTATTGCAAGTAGAATTTGCTCCATATCATAATTTCACTCTATGAAAAAGAGCAAACTCAATATTCTGTTCTAAACATCTCCTTTTGTGTTCCACAGAACATATATGAGATATGAGTTTTGAGTTTTAAATAACAACAAAACTTTATTTTTTGAATGAACTCTCCCTTATTCCATAAAGCCAGAAACACAACCATGTCAGAGAGAAAAAATATGTGGTTTGTAAAGCTCTAGTACGTAAAGCTCATGAGTTCAAGTGTTTGGCTGTTCCTTCAAGAGAAGACAGACAAGTGGAGAGGCCAAAGCATGCAGAAACTGCTTAGAGGATTATAGAGCAATGAATTGGGCCAGTGTGTTGTAAGTGAAAACATTTCCTTCCATGTGCTAACCGCGGGCAGCCCGGAGTGTGTCTATACATGTGTGTGTTAAATTGCATGGATGTAGGCAAGATCACGTGTGAATGCTTAAGTTTAAGTGCATAATGGAGAAATGTTACAGTCCTTGCTCCTACTTTCACTTAAAATTGCCAAGTGGAATTTTGGTAACTGCCTTAAAGGTATATAGTTTACCCAAAAATGTTCAAAATTAGTTGAAGCTGTTTTTTTGTTTGTTTGGTGAGATCGCTGACATTCATGGTAAGAAAGATAAATCCTATGGAAGCCAATTGTTACAGCTTTTAAACATTCTTCAGATGTTTTTCTTTTGTGCTCAACAGAAAAAAAAAACTCAAATTGGTTTAGAGCAAGTCTAGGGTGAGTAAATTATGACAGAATGTTCATTTTTAGGTGAACTATACCTTAAAGCAGAAAACAAGTGAGCAGAAAGACGCTGCTGTTGTTAACCAAAAGGGAAATACAAGATAGCAAATGTTTTTTGAATATAGGCAATTTAAGCAATAAAACCAACAAACAGCACCAAACTGTTATAGGCCCCCTATTATTTGACTTTATTCTTCAATGCAGAAGTCTGCTTGTTTTTGTGACTGTTTTAAAACTTCCGATTCAGTCGCCTATGGGAGAAATGACTAGTAATAATAAATTGCAGAAAACAGTACTTGCTCTACAAACAAGTGTTTGCATGATTATACAGCCAAAGCAAATTAATATAATAAGAAAATATCAGTTTGCAACATCAAGCAGCATTGCGAGCTGTTTTTAATGTCTAAAAATGAATGGAAGTGAATGAGACCAGAAGTCTTGAGCCAAAAAGATTCAAATGGCTGCGCCCACTCGTACGCAAAGAATAAGGTGAATAGGCTTATCATAAGAATTCGGGATAAGAAAAAAAATCATACATTATGTAGTCACTCATTTGGTTAATAATGAACAACTAGATGAGAGTGTTACAGTTTAATTACACAGATGATTACAATTGTTTAACTATTATAGTCATCACACACACACAAACAAAAAACATGTAATGTTTTATCAAATGATTAATATTTGATTAAATTACAAGTATATTTGATATGTAATTTTTTGTAATTTTGTAAAAATTAGTCAATTATTTATTCAATGGACCCTTTTTACAAGCCTGTTATGACATGTTTAACGGTCATCATAATCTTAAATCCTTGAAAGTGTTTAATATATTTTTTTAAACATATAAACATTTATATGCATTTATGTGTGTATTATTTAATCTTTGCTTCAAATTACAAAAAAAAAAAATGAATTACCACTTGTACGAGGTGTTTCTGATGAAGCGTCTATGGGACAGAACAGTAAATTGAACATTATTCTCTATGTTGGCTGCTGTCATCAGTCCCACCAATTATTTTTTTTTCTTTTCTAAACATCTTCATAACATTATTGTGGAGCTTTTCTTTTATTACTTCAGCAAATAAAGTTGTAAAAAAACATTTAATGTATTCTACTAAAGTTTTTCCCAACTAGGATGACTTCCCACCTGGAAATGTGAAAAGGGTCTATAAGCAAACACCATCTTTTAAGCAAGAGCATATTCAATGTTGATTATTAAAAGACAATCATTGGTTATTGTCTACCAGAACATCCTTTTTTGTGTGTAAGATTTAGGATTATGGTTAGGGTTATCATAAGATGCATGTAGTTATGTATAATTTACTGTTATTAATAAGTGCATGCATTGTCTAACCATCTCACCTTTTTAAAAAATATTAAATAAAAGGACTCTGGATTTGCAGACTCACCTGTGCTGTTCTTTCGGCAGCATGGTTGTTGCAGAGGAAAATGAAGGACCTTATTTACTCTCTTTCATCTTCTGTACTGGAACTTGTGGAACTCGCTTATGATGAACCTGTTACACAAACTTCATTATAAATGTGGTCTTGGATCCTCCCCTCACAATGATTTTTAATCTCTGTACAATCAGTGTGTGTCCTTCAAATACCTCAATGAAAACTGTTAGGCTTGCAGGCACAGTTAGTCTTATATTCATTGGTAGAGATGTCTGACTGGAAGTCGCAGTCAGATATCAGCCTTTATACCCAAGGTGAAGCTAGTCATAAATAACCACAGCACTGCTTTTTTCACTTATAGTTTGAACATTTGTTGTATTGGCATACCTGTGTGGAACTTTACACCCCCGTGAATAAGACTTTCTTTACTTACATTGCATTTGTACAGGGATTTAACACTTTTAAGGGATTTTTTACCCAAAAATACACATTTTCAGTAATATTTTCATTCATGGGCCATCTAATATGTAGAAGACTCATTTTTCTTTAGTTGAACACTACAGAAAGAAGATTTTTAGCTCAAAGTTGGGACCCTGCTGATGCATAAAATGCAAGTCAACTGCTACTAACATTGCAAAAACACACAAAGGGAAAACAAAATTGATCCCCTTGCCTCCTGACGACTCATTGAGGTCTTCTGAAGCAAAATGACCTTTAATCCACAGCCTCAGCTAACAGACCCGAGTACATTCACTACAGTCTGGAGAACAAACTGTTGCATAATGATGACGTATATAAACCATAGGAATTAGGAAATCTGTAAAAATTCAATATTGCCTATTTCACTCACACGTGTACATAATTGTGCCTTTTATATTTAGTGTAATTACTCAAAACATACAGTATTACTTCAAGTGTTAGTTTGCAGTTGTGTATACATCATTATGTGCTCAAGACTGTGTGCTGAGGCTCTGAATAAAAGGTAATGCAATCAATGTTTTGTCAGTACCTTACAATTCCATACACTTTTGTATTTTTTAAATACTTATACCTTTGGGGTACAAATGTGTACCTTTTGAAAAGATGCCCCAGAGACTACACAATTATTTATTTTGTTTTGACTGTTTTAAACTAATAAAGCGCTAATAGCCCGTTGGCATTTTATGAGTCAACAAGTACCCCAGTTTCAGCTAAAAATTGTCCATGATGTCTTGGACAAACTGATGATAGACTAACAAGAAATGTAGCCTATACATTCTGTGTGATCAATCCCTTTAATCAGTCATATTAGCTCAATTCTTGTGAGAACTGCATTTTAAATCATCAAATTTAAATGATGACTAAGCAAATACAGCCTTGTTATTGTGACATTATACAGTGAAAGGAAATCTTTTGACCTTTTCATTGATTCACTGTAATGTTTTCTGAGCACACATTCACAGAAATTCATTTCCACACACCAGTTTCTTCAAATCATTTAGATTGTACCAAACAACAGTCTAACATAGCATGTCTTAACTGAGAAAGTGTCTTCATTTGTAAATGATTACTCTCTTACCATACATTAGCCACTGTCTGTCACAAATAAAAGACTCCATTACTCTAAAAACTTTTATCTGCACCGGCGTTTGTGTGGGTTTGCGGTGTTGAAATTGGGAACGCACCGTTCAGGACATCCCACAACGTGCTCTTTCCTCCCCATCCTCAACTCAACCAACCTAAACACGCGACAATTAGCCGTGCGGTTGTGTCGTTAAACGTCTAAAACTCAGGCTTAGTTCGTAATCCAATATCACGACACAAAAAAGTGGGGAAAATTACTAGGGTGCTGCACTTATGCACTTACCCAAACGCCAGAGCCGATGCTGTCGCGCGCTGTCAGCCCAGCAGCCGCATAGCGCTCGTGTGTGGATCTCGCGACCCCAGCGGCGTTCATGTGAATGCGCGCTACTGGAATGCAGCACTTTACACCTATCAATAACAGTCGACAGAAAAACACCGTCAATTAAAGCTCTTGTATTACCTGATTCGTGTTTTGAAGTGTAACCGGTTTTATTTTTCTGTTAAGTTCTGTTTGGGTGAAACATAAAGAAAACTTTAATCGTATTTAAAAGCTTCCATCTAGCCTACACGTTGTTGCATGTCATTGAATTAAACTAAACTATTAAAAAGCATTACAAACAACACACTTTTCAAGCTTACTGTGATTCAGCTATTAAACTAGTTTTAAAAGTAAACACATCTGACAGGCTAGTAAATAAGCAGAATACAAATTTAATTCACACAAAAGTTTCAAAGAACTGTTATCTTGAGAAAGCAGTGATTAATCGATATATTTATTTTATTTAACTTCAACTTCAAGCTTTTAAAAGTTTAAACTTTGTTTTTGTCATCCATTTTCCAACAATTATTTTTTAAATCAGCTTTTAAAATTAACATCCAACAAAAAAAAAAACAGTAGTTTGTGAAAGAAATGACAAGCTTAGTCTGGAAAAAATAATATAAGCTACAAAATTAATACTACAACGCAAAATTGTCTGCAAACGAGCAAATTAATTATGTAAATATTCGAACATTTCATAAACGTAAACATTAGGGTGGAGACGAGACTTACCATATTTCTCGAAACACTAAAAGTCAAGTCAGTTTATTCCAGATTTCACTTGTTAAGACTTGATTTGGTGTGGATGATTCCTCATGCGCGCTCCGGCACTTGAGCTGCGGGCAACATCCTTGGATTTCCCGATGACAGCTCCTCCTCTGAGGCGGCAAGTCTTATCAAAGTCATTCGTGAACATGGCTGGACTCCCTGCGTTTGATTTCTTATGTTTTCTGAAAATTTGGCCCCCAGTCTGAGTGTCTCGGGGGGGTCACTTCAGACCCCTGGGACCGGCACAGATTGGATGCAATGCGCTCAGGTTGTGCAGAGCCAACGACCTGCCGCTAGTGCACTTATTGACCATGTGACCGGAACCTACAAGCCAAGTATTGAAGTGGAACTAATTTCAGAGGTTTTCCTGGACTGTGGCTATTCGAAAGAGGTAAAAAGCACCAAGCTTTGTTGCTTCAAGGTCAAATTATGAATGTTTAGGTATTCAGGTAGTATCTCTAATGTTTGACAAATCCCTAAAGGCACTAATAAAAACGTGTGTTTTAATTAAAGTGCACACAAACTGCACTCGTTTTGCTTGAGGAAAAAACTAATCGACTGTTTAGAGCTGCTATTCATAAATTTTGTAAGCTTGAACATTTGTTAATGGCATTTCAATATGCAAAAATATCAAGTTAAACATTTACTACAATGGTGATTATGTTGCATCCCCATGCTCTCAGTACTATTTTGGTACTTTATTTTTACACATTCAGATCATACAAAACATTTCAATGCATTCAAGATACAATATATCAAAATAATTGAGGGGGAAACAATTTCTTCTTTTGGCATTCATGCTGCGTACTTGGTGTAATTTTTGGAAAAATTAAGACTTGGTTGATTAACTATATTGACCCTAGAGTGAAAATGATGAACCTTTTACAGTCAAGATCTGAGCTAAGGTATTTTGCTGTTAACTGTTATCCAGAGTCATCACATGCATTCAGAAGAACACTTTATGACAGGTCTGAGTGACTGATAAAAAATTCAGGAACCCCGAGTTCCCTCAAATTTTCCTCATATGCTTTATTGCAGAACGAGTTATCCAAGGCAAACAAGTGACACACACAAAAATAATTGCCTGCATCTATTTGCACACAACAAACCAATGCAATCTAAAATATAATACAATATAAATATAATATAATTTGAATTTGTTATTCATTAAAAAAAATTGCTTTACTAGTTTACATTACACAGCTTTTATTATTGGTAGTTACTGACCAAGATGATGATGATAATTAATTTGAAGGGTTGATCTGTCTCGACATTTGATTTTTAATTGTTATTCATGTATATAAACTGTTACTCACCATAGATACTCTTAAAGGTGATTCAATTACAATTGCTGCCCCCTTTTGAACACACTGTGTTACTTCAACTAAAACTCTCTTAACTGTGCAACCACAGAGACTCAACCACGTGAATTTCCTTAATGCATTTATTCACTGTTTGAACAAAAAAGCAGTGAAGACATTTAAAGTGTGCTTTATGGTTGAAAGAAAGTAATAATATAGGAAAATAAATTAGATTAAACACTGACAACAAACATCTGACGATTTCTGATATGATGGAAGACAAGATTTCACACACCCATAGAGCTTCTATGTTTCGACAATTGACAGCAGAAGCTTATCAAACGCATACTAATGATCTTTAAAATTGAAAAAACTTAGACCAACAGATTTCACGATGCCATCTTATGCACAGCCAGTGTAATTGTTCCATGTCTTCTCACCAAGATGTTCCTGCAATGACAGAATGACATAGAATTCCCATTTAATACTTAAGATTAAAATTAGCTGCTGTTTGATTTGAGATTATCACCTGGTTAGCAAAACTACAATTAAAACACATCTTGAGATACCAAAAGCATTCACTACACAGTGAAGCCTGTCAGAATGCATTTAGATTGACTCAATATGCTGTTATGAAAGCCAAAAATATTGTTCTGTTTTTTTTTATTATAACAAACGAGTTGCTTGGGTAATAGCACACAAGTCACAGTGCCATTTACCTAAATGTCAGTGCATAGGCATGATCACAAATAGATATTGATTTTTGTGTACAAAGCTAAAATTAAGTTACATTTCAGACATAACATAATACTGCCTGCTTTTCTTGCCCTTTCACCAGCAAAAGTAGTTATATACAAAGCCAGAGCAAAACAGAGGGGTATTCCAGAAAGCAAGGCTAACTTACAATCACATATACCCAGAACTCTAAATAGATAAGGGGAGTGCGGGGCACAAAGTAACGTGGGGTAAAATGTAACAATTTTAAGGTTTTTGCTCAGGGTTAACCATGGCATGCTTCCAAAATTTTCACCACAGCGTCGGCAGACATCTTCCTGCCAATTATTGAAAAAGTTTGTTGAAAATTGGACGAGAAACACAGAAACCATTTTTCCAGCAGTTTGCAGTATTTTTTATTACAGCAAATTTGTTTTACTTAAAAAAACATCTGTGAAAGCATGTACGAAAAAATCTTATATTGCTGTGATTACCATCTTCTAGGCTAAAAGATGAAACCATTTTGAAAGATGTAAAAAGACAGTGACTGCTAGTCAGTTTTGAAGAAAACACGACACAGCAGGGTTAGTTGTAACAGGGTGTTACAATTAAGCCACACACTGTTGGACACCAATTAAACTAACTGAATATTTTTATTTTTTATTTTTGATAATGTAATGTTGAGAACTTTTTAAATAAACATGATTTTTTTATAGAAAATATATATTTTTTAATAGAAAAAATTAGTTTTATTGCTAATAATGCAAATAAACGCATTTTATAATAATGCAAAAAAAAAATCCAAATGTGTTCATTAAGTGGATAAATAAGTAAATAAACATGCTGTGCTATGTATAACACAAAATAAATTGAGCCAAGTACTGAGGAAATATAGCTACTATTTAAAGTAAACAGAAATTAAATTAACTGTGTGGAATCTGCCTTTGTAAGCATGCGTTACAACTTACCCTCTGTTTGTTACAACGTGCCCCACTGCTGGGGCAAATAGTAACATTTTTGCTCCTGGCACTTTTGGCAATACTGCACAGAAACTGTAGGAGACAGTTTGTGTGTTGTTGGTACAAAAAATGGTTTGTCTAAGCCCATTACTTTGTTCATTATTTGGCCAAAACCAAAAAGTGTTACTTTGTGCCCTGCTCTTCCCTATCCCAGGTCAGACGGTGCTTACTCCAGGTATATCAGTTTCTAAAAATCACAGCTGGTGGCAAGTTCAGTCAACTTAAGAATCTGCCAACCATAAACACACAAGACATTCTCAAAAGAATAGCAATTCCACAAGTCATGGGTGAGAAATTAATGCTAAAAAAAAAAAAAAAAAGAGCGCCTTTTATTTTTTCGTTGTTCTTGTTTAATGGCAAGTTACATTCTTTTAGCATATTGCCAACAAATTTGTGGCTGTGCAGACATTTTTAAAACCGTTTAGTTAAATGTTCAATCTTTATTAACTACTGTGTACAGGAATTATAATGTTAAAATCAATTGATTTACTTTGTTTAAACCCATCCGCATTAACTTTAAAAAAAGATGAATTACATCTATTAATTAGTAATACATATGCCATGCATTATATTGAAATGGTTCCATTGCTTTCATTACTTTTGATTGAATATCCATAATGATAGTGGCAAAAAATTAACCATTACTTAAAAACATTTACTTGATAATAGTGCTTTTTTTAAAATAATAAACCCCCAAAAACTCATAAGAAATCATATGCCTCTCTATAATTATATCCATACTACAAATATCAATGATTCAATGAATCACTCATTAAGACTTGCCGCCATCTATTGGTGGTTTTGAGTGATATTGATCCAAGACAGTTCTAAAGCAACCAAATGACCAGCACAAAATATTAATCCTTGATGAATTAAAATGAATGGAATACTTTCTGAGAAAGTCACACGCCAATTTGATAGTTTCAATACTTATTACACGTCACTATATATACACTTTAGTGACAACTGGTGTGTGTGGAAGAGGGAAGGTATAATGGGATGAATGACTTTCAAAGATTGTTGTTTAACTGACTTTCCCTCATTTAACTTTCTTAATTAATGTCATCGATTTCTGCAGATTGTTTTGTTGTCTCTCAAATCAAAAAATTCTCAAGATACATAGAAATAAGACAGATGCTGGTCAAGAAGCTTTCCTTACCCACAGTCAGACTCCAGGCACACTGTAGGACAGTCGGTGGCATCTTTGGTTAGAGAAGCAGCCTGCTTGGCCAGTACAGATACAACTCCTCCATGTTCATCAGATAGTGAGCCCCGGCCTGGAGATTAAAATATTTGTAATGTCATTGAGAATTACAGTATATTTTCAAGTTCTGGAAACCAAATGGAAAAGAGTCAACTGAGAATCTATATAAAGCACAATTCTATAACCCTATATTTTGTTGAAAAGTTTTAAATTGTATATTGTTTTGCACATGGTAATACACTGAAAAAGCAGGCTTAAAATGCTCAAGTTGAATTAATTTATCAGATTAATATTTTTAATACTACACATGCCATTATAGATTTTACTACTCAAACTATATCTATACATCATTTAATTTTACTTTACATTTTTTTTGCATAATTACATTTGAATAGGCTTGTATTTTCTCCCAGTTAACCATGTTTTTTTGTTTACCATTGTTTCAGTTAACTTTAAGTTGGTCAATAACACAGTTATAAAGTTGTCCACAGTAGACACCCGTTCCCTGTTTTGAGAAACAAATCAAACTAATAAAAATTCAAAACGTTTTACATACCTTCAACACATGTGTAAATATTAAAAGCAATATTAACCTCTTGTTGCAAGTGAAAACCCAGTACATGTAAACCAAGCAAATCATGGTCACCAGAGGAAAACTATACTAAGGGAAGTATTAAGGAAAATATAAAAATTACTTACACCCTAGATTATGTCCTTGAGCGTCTGTGCACAAAACCCCAACAATAGCTGGATTTTTCATCCTAGAGTGAGAAAGGAGATCAGTAAATGAAGACGCAAAACGAGTAACGTTACATGCGTAAGAAAAGAAAGTGGTTTCTTTTTAAACATACGTATCGTCAAGATGCTGCTCCAGTGCACCCTCCATAACAGCGTCCTAAATAAGGCTATTAAACTAATAAGAAACACGAAATGTTCAGAAACTGGCAGCGATGTTTGTTACTTGGATAACTTCCGGGATGTCAGCTGACAGTTTAACACGCGACTTAACACTACGGCGCCCTCTAAGGGACAACAAGCAAATAGGATCTAGCGCCATCTTACTCAAGTCAGGA